TACTAATCAGTTTCGAGAGGTCTGGTTCATAAAAGACTTTTACAGCATTTGTATATATAAAATTTTGCTGCAGGTTTACCACGGACATTTTAAGTGCAATGTCAAGCGGGTTATTGACTACAATTTTTCAGATTATATGCGGGACAACTACCCGGCATTACAGAGACAGTAAATATGGAGCATATAGAAGTACGTTATCTTTATTATATCCAATGAGTGCTTATGTTTTACCATTTTAGCATCACTACTATCGCTCTCATCCTGCTATTAACCCCTTTGTTCCTCGTGGATCTCATGTGGATCTTATCCACCTCCATGACAGAAATAAATTTGGCGGTTAAGAAGCTGTAAACAAATCTAATTATAAGACATACTTTAATAGCACTCACCAAATGTATTTAATAAAGTTTACTGAAAGAAATTAGACTGTAAAGTTTGGTTAACTTTGCCTACATTTTGAGTCTATGAATTATAAAATTTCCTTTAAAATGTGACGAGCACGTTGGAACCCCAAATTTTTTACATTTGTTTTTTTTTCATGAATAATATACTTTTATATAAGAAAACTGTTCACAATATTTAGCAAATCTAGGTTATTAATGACGGTATTGAATATTACCTCGTTAATTTATATTGATACCTTTACTTTTAAGTTGGTATCTGCCCCCTCTTGTTTTACTCCTATTAATAATCGATATTTAGAGTTCACTACCTCCGTCTATCTACAAGTTAAAAGTTGAGGTATGGGTTGCGCTTGCCCATGTGGCAAGAGGAGGTAATTACCTCTTGGCTGGATTGTTTTCATCTTTATGCCTAAAAAAGGATATGAAAGGGTTAATACCTACAAAATAGCGTATTTTATAACTCATTATTTCAGTAAAGAATTTAACTTTTTAATTTTATGGTTGCTACGATCTAATAATGGAGTTGAACATTACTTTACATATTTCATACTAAAAGCTTTCTGGACTATGGCTTAATGTAAGTTCAGCTCAACCTGAGTTTGTAGAGCTGAATATAAGTGTATATCGATCGTATTAAAAAATTTTGTGGCACTTAAAAATTTTTTTTAAAATTATTAACCCATTTTGAAAGTTTTAATGCAGGATTCGTTATTAGGATTGCACAGATTTTGGTTTTTCTCTGTTTATAACTAATAAGCTTTTAAAAAATTTACTGTGTACTGTGTATCCATTAACTTTCGTGATATTATAAGAAGATGAAATTATAATACATTTTCAAACTAGAAGTCGGAACTAATCAGCCTAAATTCTTTGAGAATTTGTAGGGTTAAAAAAAATCTTCTTAATCAAAGCCAAAAAATATACTAAATAAACATTTTTATTAGATTTTAAAACTTTGTTTAGCTGCAACTGCGCTATTGTATTTGCGGATTTGTGGAGAATCGTTAACTTAGTACGGGAATAACACCTTGAATGATTATTAAGCTCCTTTATAATTATACTAATATAGTAATTATTAATTTTAGGTAATAGTAATGACATCATAGATCCACGTAATCATCAAAGAGTTATTATCTGCTATATTGCCGGGTGTACCAGGTTAATAGAACTCGATAAAATTGCTATACCTGTTAATTGTTAAGACTTACAATAACTAAGCGACTAAAGTGCAATGAAAATTACTCGTATATATAGGATACTTGCAATCTTCACCTTTGTGTACTTTCTTTTAATGCCATAATTTCAGCGCTTTTTATTTTCAGCCACTGATTTTCAAAATCGCTCACTCTCTTTATCCGCTATAGCTTCTAACACTGTTACTAAAGAACTTGGCGCTCTCCTTTTGATCTTCTTTGTTGTTTAGAATTCCTTTGTAATTTTCTTTTTATTGAACATTTTATAGTATGAGCTTACTTTTAAAGGATTAAGGGACTTTTTGAGACATTAAGTGATAAAATATAATTTTTTATAGCCCGAGCCCTTTCAATCATTTCTTTGGCTTAATGATTTTAGCACCGCACTCCCAAAAGGTTCTATATCTCCCTGCTGTTGGTTACGGCCTCCCTATCTGTTATAATGCCTCTCGGATTCTTAACTTAGACATCTTATAATTTGACATAAACAACTCGGAATTAATCTTGTTAAAATTAATCTTGGCAAGGTTTTTAAATTCTTTCAAATTACCAATTTTGATATACTTGTAATACGAGACTGGTCTATTAACTTTGAGCTTACTATCTAAAAATAATTATTAATTCCCTTGGGGAAATAGATAGTTTAAAATAATATATGCGTAAAGGATATAAAACTAAACTCAGGGCTTCTCGGCGACTACGGTTTCATTTTATTAAAATTTCTTATTACTTTTCTCTGGGCTGCTAATCGATGATATTTGCTAAGATTCATTGGGTACTGTCATGCATTTAAAAGTGTCTTAAATACGTTCGTTGCAAGATGCTACATTGTACCATTGGGTATTCCCCTTAGACGCAGTCATTTCTTTGTCCATAACAATAAGTACAATAATTCCGTAGACCGCCGAGCGCCCTTTCGTTTACGGCCCCTGAGGAATTTCCGCGAGATGTTGGGCATGAATTCCCTCCACTTCACTTAAGGTGAAGGTATAGTGACAAAAAAACAGCTCCGCTGAAGCCTCCTAAAAGACTTGGCTTTGCTTTGCTGTACCCCCCTTCTATCATTTTTTCCATTCAAAAGGAGGATGTAATACTTTTCAGCAGTTGCTTAAGTCAACAACGTTAAGAATTCTCATTTTGACATCCCATTATGGTAAGCCTAATTAAACTGCCGGCGATTTGAGTTCTCAGCTCGGAAGGACTGATCCAACACCACTTTTCGCCGATCAGTTCGCTGCCTAATGCTTGCTACCTACCCCTATATTATACTAATAATGCATTTTTTGAGTTAAGCTTTTCCCTGATTTGCTGGCAAATAGCTTACATTGGTTAATACAGAGGTATGAGTATAGCTTCTAACGGTATCGCTTTTGTGATATTCGATATCTTTGGATGAAAGATCATCTACCTTATTAGTTATTAAAGATACCCTTCGGCGTCTTTTCGGCTGTGAAGTTGACGTGTTGCAGAGGTTAAAGTCAACCAACAAACATGTCTACCAAACAAATATGGGACCACCAGCCTCTTTTTAGCAATTGCTTGCCCTGGACCACTTTTTGAATTTTTGACAAGGGCAGATGTTTCAACAACTCCATTGTTCAACGGCGTGACGACATAACTTTAATTGGTAAACTCTCTGCGCACATCTTTTATAAATTAATAGTTTTTTGCCTTTATAGCGTCAATTTTATCAAAACTTTATAAAGATGCCATAATACCTTTTTCTTACATTAAAGGACTAATATAAAAATAGTAGTCTCCATTTTCTAACTCAAGGGGTGTTTTTGAATGTGGTAATTAAATTTTAGCCCCTTAAACCTTTACGAAAGGACATTTTTTTGGTCAGAATAATTAACAAATTTAATAAGCACTTCCTATCACTACGATACATTGACACTTGTACGTGAACTCTGTAGGCCACATGCCTTAGATATTAAGGCGACGGTTTTATAGTTATTTTTGACGTCAAAAGTTATCATGAAGCTTAAAAGGGGTAGACAAACGAAGAGAATTCTTACCTTTTACAAAAATAATTTCGGTTTTCGAGAACCTTTTCAAATACTAGGTTTCCTGTAGCCTTTTAAATTTATTAGATTATAACCTTAACATATTACCTTTTGTTACTAAGTTTTATAAAAGAAAATCTTATCATTTTTATTTAGTTGATAATAACTAATTATTTTAAGTGGATGGGACCTTTGGCCACGCTGCAATAAAGCAGAAAATTCATATAAAAGAGCACCTTGAAAAAAACTTAACGGCAAGTGTTACATTGTACACTACCAAGTGCATCGTTCAAGAAGTTAAACTCCTTGGGCCCGATTTCTTTGGTTTATAATTTAACTCCACTATACAGCTATTTAAGTACTTCTTTTTTAATGATGCTAAAAGGCACATATGTTATGATACGTAAATTTGAATATCGACAATGCAAGCACGCTCAGGTGGCTCCGGCTCGTGAGTGCGTCCTAAGTTTTCTAGGTCTTTCTTAGCACGCAGCTGTTTCTTTTCGACTAAAACAGTATTTACTATAAGTAGAAGCTTGCAACTAGTTTATTATTTAAAAGCTCGTTTTATCTAATAAATAACCTTTGTTTTTGTTTTAAACTACTACTACAAATTTCCTTTTTTCATAGTTTTACGCTATTATTAGATATGGAAAATAAGCACCGACTTTTCTTTGCAACGCAAGATCCTGAGTTACGAAGGGAGCTGAGAGAATTTTCTGGCGTCCCTCTACTCTTTTTTAGCCGTTCTCTTGGTTGCCTGGAAACACCATCCACCGCCTCGTTTAATGTTGTAAAAGAGGTAAACTCAATGCCCACTTCCCATTGAGCTACTTAATCTTCTGTTGCCTTTGGATTGCAGAGACACAGAAAACTTGGCCTCGTAAGTGATAAAGAAAAGGAATCTTTAGGGCTGTTAAAAAAACCCCTTTCAATGGTTCGCTCGCTAAGTCCGACTTTTTTAAAAAATCTATTTCCTCTTAAAATAGAAATTTTAAAGGAAGAAATTAGGAAACCCAAATCCGCTGTCGTGCAAAAAATCCAAAGCCGAAATAATCGAAGCTAAACGAGTAAAAAATAGAAGGAAAAAAGAAAGAAAAGCAGCGAAGCGAGAAGCTCTTTTCAGTTATGCCGATCAGCACGACAACAATATTCCGAGCCCTCTATAACGAGATCCTCGCCACTTTAGGCTCACTAAAAGCACACTTTATTGTTGAAATTTTCCTTTTGTTAATAAGGAGGCGGGCTTCTGCGATGTTTTGCTAAGAACTTAAAAGACCACTCGGTGCTATTAGTGGCTTTCCTTCACCGCTTTGTTAAGGAAAATTTGCTTTTCTGCCGAAATTTTTAAGATTAACTTTGTTATGCTGGCATATCATAATAAAGTTACCATCTTCGATTTGCTGCTCTGCTTTCGAGTACTTACATTTGCTTTTTGATGCCGCCTTTTGATTTGAATCTGCTCAAAGCTTTCGGCCAGTTATAAAAGTTAAAGTTAACTTATTCAAGTGGCACGTTTTTTCTTATAACAAATTTTAAAACTAAAAAACGGCTAATTATATTATTGTTTGTAGCTGCAGAATTACTAAAACAAAAACTGCCACGAATTAGATTCTTTTTTTTTTGCGAAAAGTACATTTGCTTGTCAATATTTCTGTTCTCTTTTTTCCAGCAGGAGTGAGCGTCCTTTAAAAATTCGGCCCAAGTTTGAAAGAAGTCTTCCCAGGAAAGTGTGTTCATCTAACATGTTTACTAGCAGTGCAGACTATATAATTCGAGGCGCACTGTCGCACCTCCTCTTGGCAGTACCCGAAGTAGAAGGCTGTTTCCTCCCGAAGTCTTCGATTCAAGTCGGATTCCACTGCGAGTTCCTCAAGCAGACTCCCAGCTTTTATTTCGCAAATCCCGTTTTAGCTAAAAAGCAAACAAAAAAATAGAAAAAAAGCACCAGTTTCAAGAAAAACAATTATTTCGGAAGAGAAGTGTAGCGAAGCCTCATCTTCGGCCGAACTCAAGAGAGCAGTAATCTCCTTCATTTCTACAGGAAAATCGGTTTGACATTGTTGTAAGGTAGATTCGTTTCGCAAACGTTTAAGCTGCGAGTTTAGATCAGCAACTTTACTGTCGATGTCTTTAAATTCACAACGGCTGAGGTCCAAGGCGAGTTCAGGATCAGGAAGGGGAAAGGCTGTTGAGAAATTTACTTCGTTAGCGCACATAAACTGATAGAAACATGGCAGCTACGCAGTTCTCCGCCGGAAAATTTTAAGTTGACGAGCAACGCGAGATTCGTTTCTACAAAAAAAAACTTTTCGACGACCAATTCCAGCAAATTCGATTTTCCATCAACAGTCTTAAGAAAAGTTACCAACGTTTTCTCGAACTTTTGAGAGGATAAAGATACCTTTACAAGCTTAAGTTTTGTTAAAACGTCGATTGTAAAGCCCCACGCACGCTCAATAGAGGAGTTTCCCTCGTTCATAAAGTTTCCTATGCAAAGTATGATGCCCAAGATAGTTTTAATGCCTTTACATCTCAAGCCCTGTTCAGAGTATATGCTACTTTTAGGATTAAACTGTGTATGTATAAGTCTCTTTGATGCAGTACATAAATTATTTCTTAAAACGCTTAGGAACTAAAATATAAAAACCAAACAAAAGGATCTTATTTTTCTGAACAGCACGTTTAGTTCATATATTTTGTCGCTAAAAGAAGCCTGAAATATCCGCACTTTCAATTTTTCTCTAGCAAAAGGAACTCCCGCCGTTTCTAATATGAAACTACATATTTTGGTAAACAAGCCTTCATGCGAGCTGCTATTGGAGACTCACGCTTCTCCCTCTTCGAGAACTTCCCCGCTAGTAAAGCCGGACTGATTTTTTTCCACGACGGAGCGCAAGGAAGCCAAATCCTCTTCCGTAGGGAACTTGACAAACGTGAGAAAGGAAGTAAAGTTTCTTTTACTCACTCAAGAATAAATACAAGACTCAGTAGCTTCTGGAACTCCTCGGCCTCAACACTATGGTCACTGAGGTCCGTCAGCGCTAGAAGGAAGCAGTGGTTGTCCACCGCTTCATTAGATAGTAAAAGATAGCTGCACCTTGCTTAAAATTAATGCTCCTCCTCTCGAAGTTCTTGTAGATGATACCTAACGAGCGACTCTTTCTTTCATCGAGTACTCTAACAACCTGTTTCATCAAGGAAGAGACACCTTTAAGTTCGGTAAATAAAGACATCAATGGTGCAAGAACGACCTTTTTAAGACCGTGCGTCTTCCTTTCCTTCATAGACATGGCGCTGGTAATAGAAAAACGTTCTGCGATATCCCCAAAGTCGAAGTCAAACTGCTTCATATCATTCCAAAGGCAGCTGAAACCATTAATAGCATATATTATGACCATATAATATTAATTTTGACTAAATCTACGTTGCCATATACATTGTAACGCTTAGTAACGTAACATAGTTACTTTTTTTCAAGACTTGGATTTGAGCGAAGGCGGGTCCAGAATAGGCTTTTCATTCTTTTTCCTGCCAACGTTAAAGATCCTTTACTATTACGATTAAGGAACTAGATGGTGTGCTACATGTATGAGTTTCTTACGAACACCCTAATCACTACGTAACATCTGTCTTACACTCGCACGTTAACGGGCAGCAAAGATCCGGAAAAAAGTATAAAAATAGCATACGATGCCGATGTTTATAAGCTCGCTTAGAGGAAAACAAAGACGGAGGCGGGGGAGGCGGGGGGGGAGGCGGTGACGAGAAAGAAGGATGAGGTGCACAAGGAGATTGCATCCTACTCAGAGCACCAAGGGGCTCTGAAAGCGAAGGCACGGAAAAAGAGGAGACAGATTCGCCTGAGCACCAATATAATTCGAAAGTATTAATAAATATTGAAAGACATGGAAAAGTCTAACTTTTGGAATCTGACACCGAGGAGTCCTCCATTTCTTGCAGTCCTGGAATGTTTTCGAACAGAAGCGGTGTATTATCTTTAACTTATCGTTTTTTTATTAGTGGAAGCAGACTCTGAGCGCAACCGCAAAAGGCGACTACCCGAATAGTTTGCGTCCGGAAGAAAACCCAAAAAGTTTTTAAGACGCGCTTTTCTTAACTCCTGCCTCTCTTGCCTCTCTTTGCCGCTGTTGAAAACAGACTAAAGCTTGAATGAGTTCGTCGGCGTCACCGTTGGGCTCAAAAGGAAGTACACCTTAACTGCACTGTCGCTAAGCCTCGTCTCGCTGGACTGAGAAGCTGCGTTGTGTAGAGAGAAACAGACGTGGTAAAAGGCTATATATAAGTTTTATCTTTGGCACATAAAAATTGACGTACAGCGAAATGCTTGAAGTTGCGATTCTGCTAACTCTAGTTTCTCCTCTAATATCTCAATTTCTTTTTGATAAAAATCGCTCATATCTTTAATGGCACGGTAGTGAGATTTTTCCAACTTCGCGTCAAAAGACTTCAGAAGACCACTAACATAAAAGTATTATTATAAAAGATAAGCAAGTTATTTTTACAAAAACATAAGGTGAAGGTAAAGAGTTAAACCTCTTTATCTTTAGTGCAGCAGATTTATATAAGTTTCCATCCTGAAGACCTTTATTAAGAGTGTGAAGGTAATCGTCAACTTGTCTGTCACCATCTATAGGAAACTTGCAAGGACAGAAACTTTAATTAAATATTTAAATTTGGTATTAAAAGACATAAAGTACCGCTAAAGACAACCTGCTCGCGACAGGAAGTTAAAGAAGAAAGAAGACTTTCGTTATAGCTATCTTTGTTTTCAGACGGTTTAGAAGGTAGTTTACCGTAAGAAATTGTTTGTCCCTTGTAACTTAGTTCTTTATTTAAACTAATACTCGCCAACTGTGAAATAAGAGGTGGTGGAAGTAAACCAGGAGTTCTAAGGTTTTCTAACATATCCAAATATTAAAAAAAGCAGTTGTTTAAATAAACTATATAAAACTAACCTTTTTGAATACGTAAACTCTCTGTTAAGTTAAAAACTGTTAGGTCATCCTTAGCGCTATAGAAGTTATTAACAACCCATAAATATTATAAAGTTTTTAATATTTAAGTGACTAGTAAGCACCTTGTATCTAACTTATTTTTCTTTTCCAGTGCCACAATTGAAGTTTCCATAGTGAATTTTTATATTAACCAAAATTTCAAAGGCCAACGAGTCTGTGCACCTGCAGTAGAAGAATCTACAAAATTTAAAAGGCAGGCACAGGAAAACAAGGTTATTAATTAGTAAACCTCCTTTCTATTAAAGGAACTAGTCCTTCTATAAATGAGAAAACGCTTTCTCCTAAGTTTTTCCCTTACGGTTTTTATTACGATATTACGTGTTAATACTCGATGAATCGTCCAATAAAATAGTATTTGAAAACCTTCTAATATCCAAAAAGTAAAACACTGTTATTACGTTTATTACATTTATGCAAATTTCTAACTTGTGTTTAAAACAGAAGGAGAAAGAGATATGTAATTTTGTCATATAAGAAGCAAAAAAAAAGAAGTGGCCATGGTAAAATTTCTAAAAAACCTTTAAAGTTGATATCAACTTTTTCTTAAGACATCTCTTTAAAGTTTTAGCTTATTTCCTTAAAGTTATATAAATATACAAAACCTTACGAGTTCTAAGTTATTTTTTTTTAAAAAAAAAACAAAAAGTGACTGTATGAAGCTATGGCAAATGAATTTCCACTAACCCGTATAAATTCACTCTTTTTGTTACCGATTTATAAAAATCATGAACTTGTCATATTATGGACCTCACAAATTATCTGTTGCTTGCCTGAATGTACAATACTTATTAATTAAATATAAATTTTATTTAATTAAATAAGCAGTTTTTACAGAACCCTTTGAGTCCTATCTAATAGGTTTTACAATTTTAAGTTTGTTTTTCTTTTTAATTATTTAAAGACCGCTAACTATTCCTAGCGTCATTATAAACTTCATAAGAAATAATCACTTATTGGAAAGTGCTTTCTACTAGTTACGTTTTTCTTAGCTTTTTAATTAGTAAGTAGCTCCTATTTATTTAAGAGCATACCTTTTACTTAGTTGAGAGCTGTAAATATGCCTCGTGGGGTATCACAGAAAATCTTAAGATACTAAAGTATGATAATCAAGCAAAAGTAAAAATTTACAGTTTTTTTTGTAAACAATTTACATTTGGGGTCTAGGTTAAAGCATTAAAGAGTAAAAGGGTAACTGGGTCATAATGAAGTAATCTTTTCCCATTCTGTGGCAATAACATATCGACATTTGTTAAATGAATAACCTTTAGAGAAAGATTAAACAATGCAGCAAATGAACTGTCAAGATGGTTGCCCTCTTTTGTAGTAGAAAAAGATCACAATGCTGGGATACACTTAGAGAGGTGTATGATAGGCTCAAGCAAAAGTCTTTTTCATGATCCCGAAGACTTTTGACGTTTTAAACGCGTACGGAAAGCTTGTTTTCAACTTTTAATTGTCGAAAAAGTGATCCGCCCACCGCCAAGTTCACAGGAATGAGACTGTTTATAGTAAACAGGCCAGTGACCTTTTAACGAATATGAACATATATATTCGTTCGCAAGGACGACTGACATACAGTAGTTAAAAAATAACTTTGTAACATACCTATCAAAGCGGAAGTATTCAATTATTTTGCTAATAAAGCTTGAGGAGTTAAATTCCCATTAAAAGATTTATAGACTATATTTGTGTCATGGTGTACAGTATAGAGGGCGTCATGTAGAACATTGTCGAAGACCCTAAAAATCGCGATAGAAAAAATTTAGTATGTACATATTAAAAATGACAGACTATCTTAAGAAGGATTTTCTATATAATTCATTCTTTGCTGAGTATGGTAGATGTTAAAAGTCTATACAAAGACCTACATCACAGTCGCTGCACATAAACTGGAACTTTCCTTAGTGTGGGCTCCTCATTGAAAACTTAAAGATATACAATTTGCGCAGTTCTCGTACATACTCTAGCAAGCCTTTCTTCGGAAAATGTCTGCCACTTAGACATAAAGGGTTCCAAAATTGCCGGACCGTTCTAGGCTAAACTGAGATTGCTGCGATTCTTACTTGTAACAGTTTTAGATGGCATGAACAAAATTCTTACACCGAAAAAAAAACTTTTTAGACTACTTTATAGCCTACCCTTCAGATAATGTAAAGCTTATCCGCAGATTAGTCTCATCGAAAGCGCCTATCTTTGGCAGTAGCCGTGGACAACTAAAGGCTTAATTCGGTTAAGTGCGTTAATTCACAACGACAGCGTTTACTTCTTCCTATAAATGGTACTCAGCATATATACACACTTTTTTCCTTTTACTTAGTACTCTCCAAAGTATTTATGTGCTTCCAAATAAGTGGATTGTTTTAAAAAACCATAATATTTAGTACTCCCCCCCTATTTAAGCGCATCGTACCTACAGCAGCAACCTTTTCACTATGTATTGTGTAGATAATAAAATTTGAGCGTACCAACGATCTACGTATACCACATAACCCGTGCCATAAAGCGGTTATAAAAAAGTAGTTACTTCTGAAGGCGATGTAGAAGTAGGAAAAAGTAGAAACAGGTTTGTTGTATTGCATCACACCTACAACCGTACAACAATACTGAGGTAGAAGGAGCGGTTACCAAGCGTTTTGAAAAAACCTGTTTTGGCGGTATTAATACGAGAAGCGCCTGTGTCCTAGTAACTATACAGTAGTTTAAGTCGCGAAAACACAAAATATAGTATTAATGTTTTATGATAACTTGCCAGTTTCATTTAATAGTGCTTTTTAAGTTATATACATTCGTACAATAATATAGCACGAACTTTGTCGTAAATGTTTTTTCCGGGTTTAATTCGTTAATAACCACCTACTGTAAGATTCAGTACGAAATAGTTAAAGTTTTAAAATTCATTTATACTAGAAAATATATACCTTTTGACAACCTAGAACAGAAAATAAACAAAAGGAGAAACAATATATCGTTTTCATGTGTTAAAAACTGTATGATTTTATTCAATGGAATTTTCAAAGAATAGCGACATCATATATCAGTTTCCATTACACTTAGAATATTCTCCTGAAGCGTTGTACTAAATCTTTTGTGCAACTCATTACGAAACTTTTTTCTCCCAATCACGACGTGTATTTTATTTATAAGTTGTAAAGAAAAAATATTTTAAAAAAACTTATAGCTAATAGTAAATTATGTTACCAGTTGACTCGGTGTAATAATAAACTCCAAAAAGTATTTATACGTGAGTAATGAATCTTATTTTTTTTTTAAATTTTAGAATAGTTGGTTTTATTGGTATACCTACATTCCCAAGACCCGCTGTTAACATTTTTAGCTTAATATAAAAATAAATCTATGTTTAAATAAATATTCAAGTAAGTAAAGAACAAACTCATTTTTCCTAATGATATTGTCCATTTTACAAACGACTGATCAAGGGTTTACAAAAAATATGATGTACAAAACCATAGCTTAAAAAAAACATACTATATCGCTTGAAGCAGCAGTAATACGGACGGGTTTAAAAAACCATAACACAAAAGGAAACAAAGGAATACCCTCACATTTTAACCCTAACATTTTATATTCAGTTTTTTTTTTAATCACGCTTTGTGGTATTTCCTTCATCAGTTGTTCCGTAGACGAAACTGAAACTTATCTTTGTCTTCTTCTTAAGAAAGCTTATCCCTAATATCATTGACTATCCAAATAAAACTTTAACTAGTAATAATAAAAACTGATTACACTTATGTTTATAAGAATAACCAGTTTAAAAGTTTACTATTTGGTTGTCATATTTAAACCGAAAAAAGACGTAAGTAAAACAGAGATGGGAATATAGAAAAAAAGAAGCAAACTATTGAAGAAAATATAAGTGAATAAAACTTAAGATCTTGGTTTTTAGCTCCCTCCCCTAAACACTTAATTAAATAAAAAAATAGAAAACCTAACCCCTCCTACGGCTCTCACCTCACAAGTCAATTTTTTTAATAATATTTAGTACGAAAAGTTCAAAAAGAAAGGTTTTTTTTATTTTTAGCACTGGCATACTTCGGCTGGTCTTCTTCAAACCTTAAGCCGCGTAATATGTATTCCCCTCTTCAGCAGGGTTATTCTAAAATGCACCAGTGTACACTCTTTGTAAGGCTATAATAATTGTCCCAAAGGACTAAAAAAGCGGAAAATATCGGGAACGAACTCCCCCCCCATTCATACTAGTGCAGTGGAAAACCGCTGAAAACCACCACCGTGGGAGGCGGCCTTAGGTACAAAACCTAAGGCCACCTGGGCACACCTGCCAACACACCCGCCAGCCAAGCCTCCCCGACTGTGAACTCCTCACCAGAAGGGAGGAGCCCGAAAAAAAGGTTTTTTATATAGTTATACATTATGTACACATAGAAGCGCGTACTTGAATGCGTCACACATATTAGGTTATACAAAGTTCTTATTGAACCGTCATTTTAACCGTCTTTCAGCAGGTGGCTAGAGGTAGCTGCGAAGACAAATCCCTCAATTAGAGGTTGAACCCAATTAAATTTGTAAAAAAGACAAAAAGCAAGTGTTGTGCACTCTGGCAAATATAAAATTATAGAACTGGGGTAATAAATATAAATGACAAACTCAGCGATTCTTTTTTCCGGTCTTTGAGAGGTTGCGTATTAACTTTGCAATTATTAAGCCCACTAGCAAGTCATCTTCGTCGTTTGATTTTGAAGCTCTTTTTGTATAGTACTCTTCGACCATGCTATGCAAAGGTAGTAACTTTAGACACACTGCTTAGAACAGAGGGGTTCAAATCGGAACCGCTATATTTCTGAGGCCTACCCCGAAGAATGCGAATCGAGGGCCCCGGGACCAAAGCTGTCAATATACTAGGCGAGGAAGTCAGGCACAATGAACGTGCTAGATATTCGCCATCGAAGGGTATATGATTTTTAACAGCTACTGAGGGCTGGAGGAACTATCATCGGAACACTTGAGTAATTTTGGTTAATTAAATCCTTTAGAAACATCTTCCCGATCTTAAAATTTGAGCAACTCCACCAAAAGTGCTTAAGGGGGCGCTCGTGCCTTTTTACCCTAACGAAAACTCACCCTTAACTAAACAATGTCGATGGCGACTTCGAGCGTGCGGTGACGGATGCTCTCATTAACGCACAGAGGAAACGTGACTTTGCGTACCGCCATAACCGCCCTCCTGAGAAGTTAACGACTATAATTGGCGAGCGACGACGCCTTAATCGAGTGATTATGACTTTCAACAACTTATGAACAAATTGGTGCTAAACCACCTACCGGCACATCAACAAAAAGCTGATGACACACTTTAACTGCAACGACAACAAACTGTGCGAAGTGTCAAAAGTGATGACAACGGGGATGCACCCCTCACGAAACAGATTAGACGAGTCAAAATCGAGATCATACATCTTGGCCGACCCTTCGCCACGGCAATATTGTATCCGGAAAGCGATGAAGGCAATGTGAACCTCTTTTCTGATCACCTTACTGCACAATGTCCATAGCCAACCCCCTTAACTGTCAATAATGCGCCCCTTGAACCGAGTTTTTCCTGCGCGAGGGAAAATGGCAGTTGTCGTGCGATTACCAAAGACACCGCAATTGGCATCCGAGCCTTACTATTACCGAGCTATCAGCCTTTTATCGGCAGTTGGTAGGGTAGTTGAAGCATGAATAGACATCGTTTAAGAGCAGTTGTTGACGCCCGTAAGTTCTACCAAAGTTTCAAGTTGGATTTTAAAGAGGCTTTAAACATCCCAATACACTCTTTAGCAGACCGATTGGACGACTAGAACCTTTAATTACTTGAAAGCCACTGGCACTCCCTCTAGACGACGAGAAGGCTTTCAACCGAGTATGGCATGAAGGCCTGTTGCGCTAACTGCACACTCTGGCAACACCCTGCGACTTTGGAGAAGTATTCAAGTCGTGCCTAATTGGCCGGGTCTTCAGCGTGAAGGGGTAGTATACTGCGTCGCAACGTTCCATCTCGAGTGGGGGTTCCGCTGCTATTCCCACTTTATACGAACGGTACCCTTCTGCTAGTCGACTCTCCTCCGCGGGTCGCCCGTTATGCTGATGATACATACGATGATTTATTAGCAGTCAAAGTCACACGTGCTACTAATTAACATCTACAGCTTTAATTTGACGCGCTTGATAACCAGTATAGCCATGAAATTTTCTATTAACGTAGCAAAAAGCAATGCTTTTTTTATAACAAAGGAACAAATTGCGCTGCCTACAATCTTGTCGTTCAAAGGCATAAAAATCTATGGTGCCTCATACCTAGAGGGCATAATTAAAAGCTCTGTAGTGCAAACTTTCGTTGCGCAATAATCGAAGGCTATAGTATCTATTATACATTTCGGTCAATAACGGCACACGCATCTGTTGCCTGGGCCTACGACTTACTGGCATTAGCGTCTTTGCTCCAAGTGCTGGGCCTTCTAACAAGGCGTTGTAGTTTGTGCGTAATGATGCGCTACAATGTGAACTACAGGTTGAGCCGCTGACCACAATCTTCGATAGTGGGTACGCTAGCACACAATACCGCCGTCCCCGTGGCGGATTCTTGGAGTGATATCATTGGAAGCTGGAGTTAGGGGGTTCAAATAACACGCGAAGAATATCAAAAAAAAATATTAAATATCACAGTATACAAAAAAAATTAACAACACAGTTCAAAACACAAAAATAAATAGTATAATACATTAGAATTTACGAGGGCGAGGTTGGATACCGCTACCATCAAAGACCGAAAAAGAGAGTTGCGTCGGTGAGAATCCCACCCACGACCTTGAATGTGCGTCAATACCCTTAACCGCTGAACTACGGACAATAACCCTCGAGGCCGGTACGATGGTTTTACGTATATAGCCTGTCGTAATACATTACTATAATACACACTAACTATAAAAAACATAAATACACAAAACACAGACACCTAAATGTTTTTAAGGAAATTGATTCTAGAGTAAAACCATAATACTTAAAACCAGTTAACGAAAATACAGGAAACCATAAGTTTTTTCACCGCATACAAAGATCACCTACTTTATAAATTGGATACGTACTAAATAATGTAAAGTTTATAAAATAATCTGGACCAATTAAAATAATTATATATACATGGAAGTTTTGTCCTTTTAAGGTATAAATAGAGACCGAAAAAACGTTAATATATGACCTTTCCGTACTTTCGTTCAATTTCCTTGCGGCTTGTGTTCCGTATACTTATTTGATCTACGTTATTTTAATTATACACATGATATACAGTTAATTAACTCTTAATTTACATTTTTTTCTAATTTCTGATAGACATTTTAAAATAATACTTACTTGTAGGTGACTAAATCTTTCTGAGAGCTTAAGTCTCTTTTAACTAAAGTGGAGAGACAAAGAAAAGAATTAGTAAGTGGGACTAGGTTTACTTTCTCCCTCTTTTATTAATAGCTAACTCGGTTGCAAGCTTTAACTTAATACCTATCTCCATAAAATTAAACTTGCCGCAATATAGCGCCAGAACAGAAATCCGAAGCATCTTATAAATTGGTAATACTATAAGCAAAGGTGTAGAGCGTTCAAAAGTTTAATTAAATCCCATATCTACTTTGTTTAAAGGTACAAGAGTACAATTAGTAAGAAAACGATTTTTTTCACGCTTATACCCCTGCTATTATATGCAGATTTCCCCCTTACTCTAATCTATTTTTCTTTTTAATAAGCTCCAGTTATGTTTTCTATATTTTAAACTTTTGAACTAATTCTTTTAAGTAGTGACTTTAAAATTGGTGTACAAAGGGAGTCTAACCGATGACTATATACATGGCGCCACTCAGATTTCAATGGGTAAAATCCCTTGATTTTTTAGTAATAAACAAGGTATACGTAAAAACACCCTAATGGAAATAGACTGCTAACAGTAGTGACTAGGAATAAGATTAACATAAAAAAACTACGTATTTTATAATTAGCAATCAGCACACTAATGCTATGACGTGCAAGAAAACAATAACAGTTGCTTTTGAGAATGTAAGTAGCTATTCTTAAAAATTATGATTATCGCCTCAGCCAAGGATGGTTCTTTAACGACAACTTGCTCCTGTCTCCGTAGTCGTAGAGAAGCTCTTCTCCTTCAGATCAGTTATAATACGCTATCAATATAATTTTCTTTAAGTTACATACCTTTTAATATATGCCTTTTCGCAAAAAAAAAGAGACGAGGCACGCCGCTGACCTCCATGGCCTTGGTAACAAGGTTAGCTGCAGATAAAATAAAAAGTGCTTTGAAAGGGGTACATAAGCAGAAACGAAGGCAACAGACTAATACTAACTACACGCAGTTCTTTAATGGATCGCCATCCTAACTTTAGATAGACTCCATAGGTTTAAACTACACAGCGCAAGAGTCAGCAAAACCAACCTGCTTTTGCGCTGTGATTAATAAATCTTCCGATTCGTCCTGTTAAAGTGGCGTCAACGCTAATTTGTACAATAAAGTTAAAATTACACTTGAACAAATCTCTAAGTAACTTAATCTACACAATTAGTGAAGTGCTTAAATCCTAAGACTAATAAATAGAAAAGCTTTTTTGCTTCCCACGAAATATTTTGGAATGGAGCCTATAAGCCTGTAAAGTATATGCAAGAATCACGTAACATGGACACAAATGTACCCAAAACTATAAGTTGCAAAAAATACAAATACGTAAGGTTAAGTAACCAGTGGACATTCTCTTTAAACTTAAAGTAGTACATGTAACATCCGCACTCAGGATCTTTGCCGTATTTTACTTCCCGCAGATCTGCTTCCTTTTTGCCAATTAATTCCCCTTTAATATATTATTATTTAATATGTGATAATAAATATACGGCTTATAGCCCAACTATTTTGATTTGCTAAGATTTTTAATAGCATGCCCAAAAAAGGGGCAAAGAGGAAAAACTAAGTTTATAGAATATACATCTTTGAAGCAAACCGAAGACTATTAACACGTTTCAACGGATACCTCCGTTTAAATTATTTCTTTGTAAGTGCTATAAATAAAGTTTTAAGCCAAAAAAGAATTAAAAAGATAGATTCGTTGCCTAAAATATTCAAAGTTGATAACTTATTGAAGTCACTAGTTTTTCCTAACTCTTAGGATTTTCTTGAAATGTAGATATATCCGTTAAAAATATATAGTATATGTGCTGTGCACACCTGAGTATTCACATATGAAATCGCCCTTCGAGAACTCTCTTAATGTCCTAACACCTTTACCTTTATCACCCTCATCGCTAACCTACAAAAACTTTATAAAAATATATTTTTCGAAGTGTACATATAAGAAAGACACTTCAAGATCATATTCAACACTGCCTAGTATAATTTTCTGTAACTGTTCCTCATTTTCTTTCTAAGGAGTGTTAGTAAGGAAGAAAGGACCGGTATGGAAAATATACCTTCCTTTGGTTGGAAGAAACCCTATTACTCTTTCGAGCCGGGAAGTAGTAGGAAAGCTCCTTCTGGCTATATTTTCCTTTCCCTCTTTCGATAGTTTTCTTTTCTTTATACTTTAATCTCTCTTTTCTACTTCTGCAAGAAAAATTATTTTCAATTTCGCCACACCGACAGGTTATATATTGAAGCAATACTGTTTTCTCTGAGAAAGTTTTGTGGGGGTGAAATAGATGTTAAGTTGACTTTTCTTGAGATTCTCCGCTTTCTGCTTGTCTGGAGTGGAAGGAGGAGTGAGCGATGTGTGTTTTTTAAATTTTAACGTAGCTTTTAACGAGCTGCCGCTGGTCACTTTGTGACTCCGCGACTGAGCCCTATAAGATGAGGTAGTGTTGGTCGGTGTAACTGGCTTGGATTGTTTCTTTTGCTTCTTTTTATTGGTCACATCAAAAAGGTCTAACTTTGAAAAATCATTGTTAAGGGAAGGTAAAAAGGTTTTAACTTTATGAGGATCTGAAGACTTATTATCTCTAATTTTAGATTCGCCATTGCTTTTTAAAGATCCTCTAGACGTTTTTTGTGGTACCAAATATTTATTATTAAACAAAGTGTTCTTTAGGGGCTTAAGTACTTGCATTTTATCCATCATAGCCTTTATTAAAAAGAAATGCGAGTAAACATATGAAGCTAATATATTATAAAAGTTAAAAGATCCTCTCAATAAATAAAAAGTTTGAAATTGCAATACCAGATCTATGGCTGTCTGCTTTATTTTCGTGTTATCTTGAATTTTTTCTCTTAGACTTTTTGTATTACAGAAGTCGACAGTTTTGGACATAGCTTTAGTTGGTAGAATATTGCCTATATAAATAAATAAATATAAGTTAAGTCCGAAATACTAACAGAAAGCTTATAGGTTAAAGGATACTGCACAGGCCTCAGAGGACTGATGCACCGTAAGATAAGCTTAATTCAATATTATTATTAAGAACGGAGTTTAAAGAATAATGAAGGCAATAAATGTTAAAAACAAAATAGAACGTAAAAAAATTTAAAGTCAAGAGAGAAGATAGATTTTGCACTATTTTGATATATTTACAGATTTCAACATTTGCTGATGCACGAAGAGATGAAATTGTGTGTACAGCAACTTTTTTGCTCTGGGGAAGCGACCATCAGCTACCAAGAAAAACCTTCTGGAGCCGAACGAACGGACCACCCTCGGAGAAGTAGTTTGAGACTTTAACTACGGAGGCGGAAAAGACAGCGCGAGTGAGGGCTGCTCGACAGCAAGATAAACAGACCATGAGTGGATGTAAATCTTTCTTTTTGTCATTTTCAGATTGGGTCGTTACTCATTGTGCGTTCGCTAGAACTTATTATTACTAGTGGTAAACTTGTGTTGTATTGGTTTTTTAATTTTTTAAATTGTCCCTAGTCTTAAAAAAATCTTATACTTTGAGGCTATCACTTGCATGGTGGTAATGTACCTTTCCATTGGTGCCGAATTTTAATTTCTACACCCCTTCCTTTGAGTGGTTTACGATGAAAATAAACAGTTTTAGGGATCACAGTTAATTTTACAATATATTTGTAACTCTGCTTGTTGATATAGACGAGACGGTTGAACTGGGGCAGTAGCCTTATGATAACAACCAGTTAAGTTGTCGACAACTAGTTCCTAAATATAATTAGACAACTGCTTTCTTAAAATTCTAAAGCTACCGAGAGCTATCCTACTACATAGGAAAACTCTAAAGCAAGCTCATCTGCTTTGGCCTCCTTGAGTCGTGTAATATAAGAAAAAAATATAAAATTTACGCACTCCAGTCAATGACCGAATAGTTGTATATAATTTGAATTAAAAAACTTATAATAACTGATTTATTATAGGCTTAACTCCTCCAAAAAGTACAGCAGATTTTGAGATTGGTTAGGCTGTAGTACAATAGAATATAGCTTTTAGTAGTATTTTCTTGCAGTCAGATTAAAGTCAACCTTTCCCTCCAGCCTTAACCTTATTCATATCGTGTGGTTTTTCTATTTCCTTTAGTAACTTTCCGTGTGGACTTTCCCTAAAAAGTATTGATATTTAGCTTATAGAAAGCGCAAAGAGAGGATTTGTTGTGTCCGCTCTTTGAAAAGTTAAGTATTAGTAATAAAAACTTACTTAATCTCAATGTCGTCAGGAATAACAGGCTTAGATTTGTCATTGGTTTCAGTATTTTTTAAGTTTGTCTATGAAACAACGGACGCTTACAATTTGTTTCTCACTAAGCTTTAAATATAAGTGGTATACCTTCCCTTCTTCTATTTCTTTAAAGACTTCGCCATGGTTATTCTTTCTAAATTAATAAGTTGCACATAAAAACTGTTAGGTAGTATATACATCGAAAGCAGATAAAGGGGTGTACTCTATTTTGAGATCGTCCGGGATCACTGGTTTCGACTTGTCAGTGGTGTCCACGTGGTTTAAAGAAGGCTGTGTACTTAATTAACAAGCAGGTAATATAATAAATTTAAAGAGCAACCTTTCTTGGAATTTCATCTAAAACCTGTGACGGATATATATATATTTAAATACAATCTGAGATAAACATGTTTACTTGGTATTAACCTTATCTGAATTTTGCTTTACCTCAGAAAGTGATGGTGTCTAATTCGTTAAATTAATGGTGAAAAATAAGCAAAATAAGTAAATAAACCTTTCGCTGCCCAGTCATTAGAAAAAAAAAACAAAATTACAGGTTAAGGGACGAAGGAAGGGGCTCGACTTAGTAATTAAGAGTAGTACTTCGCTGGCAGGCAGTACATCCACTTTTTATATCCATGCGCAAGATCGGTTAAAAATCAATCTTTTAGGAAACACGCTAAAAGATAATAAAATAATTACCAAAAATGGAATGCTGGGGTTAATTTATTTTAAATATCTAATTTTTATAACGCCCATAGCGTGCATGCCCAATTACAGAACAAAAAAATTTCATGAACTATTATTACATTTTTAAGTGCCGACCATGAATTTTTCTCAGGGACTTTAAGCTTCATTATTAATACTTTTAATTATAAAAAAACAATTTTAGTCTTAATGCTATCAATAATGGGTCAACTTACGAGTATAATCCACTATGATCGCGTGCCAATAAAAGCAACTATTATTGTTGCTAAATTAAATGATTAATAAATATTTATAAAAAGGATAAAGCCAAATGGTGTATTAATTGAGTGAGACAAAGTTAAAATAATATCTTTAACGAAAAAACAGCAATTAAAATATAATTTTAAAAATTTTAATTTCTTTCGCTGTAGGTAATTTAGATTTTCGGTTAAATATCTAATACATTCATTAAATACCATTTTCAGTTAACTTTGAAGTCTCGTAACCTTAATTTAATTAAAAATTGTTATTAAAAATTCAATTTTAAACAACAGAAAACAAGGTTATTAAACTTGGGCGTTTTATTTTATAAATGTATAAATGAACCCGTAGCCTCTATACTAGATGGCAAATTACATTATCCAGTTTTATACTATATGACACTAAAAATATAATGGAAAAAAATGGAGGTTTCCTTAGTATATTAATAAACGTAGCCTCTATACTAGATGGCAAATTACATTAACCAGTTTTATACTATATGCCACTAAAAATATAATGGAAAAAAATGGAGGTTTCCTTAGTATATTAATAAAAAATTGTAGTTATTATTTAATATACTAAATTAATTTGTTATAACGACTCTTTTTTTTGGTTATGTAACGCTCAAAGTAATGATAACAAACTAAAAGAAGGTATGCGAAGATATGTTACTTTTAGGAGATAAAATGAGCATGATAGAGTAACGAGAAAAAAACTATAGCATCAATGTTAGTCGCAACTTTATAAATTATGTTCCCAATTAGGCACACATTTTCGTTTTAACATATAAACAATAACCAAATTAGAACTATAAGAAAGTCAAGAGCGAGAAAAACCTAGGCGTTAAGAAGATAGATATAATAAAATTTTTTAAAATGACAGCTAAAAAAATAAATATGCCAGTGCCAAGTTAAAGATATACTAGTTGTTATTAATACGAAGCTCCGTCAAGAAGGTAGTAAAGGAAAAAAACAATTTTTTTTTAGTAAATGTATAAATGACATAAAGCTACCGTTAGAATCCAGAAAATAGTCAATATAAAAATAATTTTTTAGCAGACTATAAGAACTCTCTTGAAGGGTATTCAATGCAGTGTAATGACAAAACCTTTAATTTCAAAACTAAAGGTTTATGAGTACTTTTAAGAAAACTTTTAAATTTAATTTAGCCAATCAAATCTTTGTATTATCATGTCGCAAAGCTTTATTTATTTTTCTAAACAAAGACATGGCAACTAGGTTTAATGAGTTAACAGTCACAGTAACAACTGTTTTTGCGACTATTTAATGTTAATTAGGTAACTTTAAAGTAAATAGCACTAAATATGTAAAGTATATACATTTCCTTTTAAAAAATATGATTTCTATATATTTAATAAAAAATTAGACAAAACTTGTAAGGTTTATAGCTTCTATTAATTTTAAAATAATAATAAAAAACGTTATTCTTACAATTTTTTTTTAAAAGATCGCTTTTTTCTTTCTTTCTAGGGGCTTGTCAGGGCTTTGCATTTTTGTATCGTAAGTTAACTGGTCTAGAGGGCCAGCAATCTTGTTAAAGAAAGTTTAAGTTTATAGGATTATAACAGTATAAAAAAAAACTTCTAGGAGGCGTATAAATCTAGAGGATCACTAAGTAAAAAATATTTTTTTATTTAGTTATTCTCAAGATTTTTTCCAGGTTAAGAATTTCATAAAGCCAATCCCCGGGGCGTGTAAGTGAAACTACAGCGATTATAGGGCGCCCATACTATTTTTTCTTTATAAAAAGTGTCTTTGTTTTACCCTTTCACGTTCTGCTTAGAAGCGTTTAACTAAATATTTGATATACAGTTTTAAGTTCTGTTTCTACACGTTTCATCTTAATTTTGTCGTTTTTTGTCTAGTTTATTGATTCTAATTGCTTCTTAGCTCCTGTTTTTTAATCTTTAAAACGACTTAAAAAAAATATCATTTTCTCACTGGCTTTTAAAAATATTTGTAATACATTAGGGTTTGCTGTGCATTTAGTGGGTTAATTTTCGCCCGTATATTATTTACAATCTTTAAACTGAGGCAAAGACTAATTAATTAACTCATTCAGATTCAAAATCATTGCAAGAAAAACCGACGTTATTTCAAGAAAAGGGATCTAAAGATTACTTGACTCAATAATCAATGAATCAAGTCACTGTTGTTAAACCGAGCCACATGTACGAGTCATGCGTAATTTGGTATGAACATAGTGACACATCATTAAATGATTTCATACCAAACATAATATTTAAAATAGTACTAGAAAGCAGGACATACAAGAAAAGTTAAGCTTTCTTCTCCTATTTTGTCGATAAAGCGAAGAGGCGTAGCGCCAACCACTTGGCGTGCAGCGATGCCTCTACCTAGACATTACATAATTGTGGCGCAGCTGAGTGAGCGAGCTTGTTACCGCCGTCCTTCGAGATTTCTACGTTGAATTTACTCATCGAAGAAATAAAAATGATTCTTCGCGCCCAAAATTCCTATATCATTGCATGGAGCGATGTAACTCTCTATTAACCGTTACCAGACTGAAGAGGACTTAACAGGCGCTCTTTGCCACTAATACTTGTGCATTTTCCTAAAAATGAAGGACTGGCAATATTTGCGATGCAATCATCAGGTCAGTTGCTTATAAATGGCGAACCGCTGCTAAAGGTTGACCCCTTAGGGCAATGCAATCGCTGTCAGCTCTCCATTCACAGGGCACGGAACTGAGTCCCTCGCTTCCCGCTGCACCAAATTCAGCGATGACCATCTAATAGCGCATGCACTCTTTAAAATTCCATGAAGCGTCCCCGAGGTGCGCTGATTGGGAAAGCCATACCATAAATTACGCTCGAGAACCTTTTGCCCGACCTTAACGCCGAGACCAGCATCGTTTCGTTAGCTCAGCAGCAATAACCTATAACTCCGATTGCAGCTGTACTCGATACAACCTTAAATGCAGAAGCAACCTAGAGAAAAAGGGGTTGTAAGACAAAATTTATGCCACCAGCGACTTTTGCAATGGAATGCCAACGAATTGGTCTATTAGAAAGACGAAACTGCCGGAATGTCTATTTGAGTACACGAATAAAGAATTTCTCGCAAAGTACGCGGGCCGACGCACGCTGGCACATCCACGAAATATGCTCATAATTAAAAACAAGCATTTCAGATTTTCTCGATAAATCAGGTTGATGACCCATTAATCAGACTCTTCACCTATCCTGCTTAATAGAGCGAAGACAAGATAATAGCAAACTTATAGATACAGTCAATCACAACCGGGGAAAATTCTAGCTAAGGTTGTAGCGTCACTGTCCCCGAGTCTGTGTCCTTCGACTCCTCCTACCCAACTAGAGTACACGATAAAGGCCTTTAAATGCACACTAATTGCTACTCCTGCTTCTGAGACGACAAGCTTTATATTCATGAATCGCTAAAGGAAATATCCGTGATTTTTATTCGTTAACGCCGGCAACTGAAGCGCCTGCTTCCCTGCTATACAAAGCGTTAATAATAACCTGATATTAAATAGCCTTTATTGATAACTCATTCAGCTCATCATTTCAAGCATTATTATTTTTATACTATAAATGTATAATATATATTTAATAATATTTTTCTTACAGGCTTAAAAATTTAATAACTAATATATTATTAATAATTAAGCCAAGTAATATAGTATATATAGATTTAGTTTAAAGCTTAAAAGTACTTGTAATAATTTATTTAATAGCTCTTGAACCGCCCGAGTAGTACAAAACTCGCCACGTACCAAACACTAACAAACACATTTTAAAAAAAAAAGAGCGCGATGCGACGCCAACTCCTATAGTTATTAAAGCTTTTTGCGGTCAGCCTTAAGTACAATAACACTAATAAAGCGATCACCGTCTTTGCTTTTTCGATCTGCTCTTATTTTTGTCTTATATCTATGGTTTAAAGGCCCCAATCAATAGAGTTTCAAAAGTCGTAAAGTTGGAAAATTAATTTCTTTAACCTACAGAACCAAAGCCAAATGAAATATAAATTCAACAAAAACAAAACACGTACAAAAGTATTTTCATAGTTGTGCGACAAATATATTTTACCAGATAAGTTTTTTTAAATTTTTTCTTAGCTTAGTTTTATTAAAATAATAAATGGGGTCGTTAGTTGCTGTGTAAAAAAAATAAGAAATATTTTTATGTAATTTCATTAACTGAATTTCTGGTTACTGATTGGTTTCATTACGGATCAGTAATCTAAAAAATTTAGTTAGGCGCTGTCGCTTCCTTTATAACTCTCATTCGAGTTCTTGGGTTGTCTTTCGTTTAATTTATTTTGTCTATTACGCTTAACAAAAATGTCCGTAAATGTATAGGATATTGAATAATATTTTTGTTTATTTTTCATAAGACAGTTGTAAATGTTAAAATTAATTTGTTAAATTATATAATTAGAATTATAAATGTTCGGTTTAGTGAATTATATTTTGTTATTAATTGTTACTTGGTACAATGTATGCGCTTCCGAGAAAGAAGACAACGGCCTTGATGGTATTTTTAGATGCTAAAACAGATGCTGCCGTTGGCGTTAAGCTACTTAAGCGCCCTGAAAACAATTTGATGGCGCTTAGACTATTAAACTGTTTTTAACGGTGGGATATAGCGTCAAGGCGATTTTGACGCGCAAAGTAAAGGAGATCTAGTAAAAGCTCCAAATGGACCGCCGAAATTTCAGTTTAGCTTTAGTCGAGGCCATTCTGATAATGCAGCAGCTCTTGCGATTAACTACGAAAGCCATCCTTTTAAAAAAGAATTCGGTTTGCGTGAAGGCTTTTAAACAACAGACATAGGTTAGACTTCCAGCGGACACTGTTTGCAGCGTTCTCGAGTCGGTTCTGAGTATTCATGTCTTTCGCACTTTGGTGGGCGTGGCAGTCACCGTTACCCACCACTGGATAGCCTGGTACTTTTGTTAAGGTCTGAATGTCTCGAAAAGCGAGACACGTCTTATATCAAAAAAGCGAACTAGACTGCCCTCTCCCCATCTTTTCAAAACTAGATCCTATAAAGCCTTAGCCGATGTGCCTCACCTTAATTTTCGACAAGGGTCTGTCGTGGCGACAACAAGGCACAGATTTTGTAGAAAAGGTAGGAAGCAACACAGGCTCGATACTGCTGATGTGCTGAAAAATAGATGTTTCATGTTTCAAGCTGCCTCTATACGCGAGGTTTGTTCGGTCCCCATGATGACCTACGTTTCCATGTTTGAACTCTTACTGCGCCGTCGACGGTGGCCGCACTGCTGCTTAAAGGCTTCTTTCAGAGCGCAACCGCTATTGTTTACGGATGTGTCGAGAAACTCCCGAACCGTCCCCAATTACCGGAACTTGTATAAATCTCTTAGAAAGACGCGTTACCGCCGTCCTTGCTACGTTCCATGAGCGAATTTGTTTTTATAAAAAGGGTTATAGACTTGAAGGCATGCTGCATGCGGTCTAAACAATATAACGATCTTTCAAGTATGTAATTATTATCATTTACCAGATTAAACAGTCTGTGCTCGGATCCACGTGTTCACTTTTACCAACCGAAGGTGGAAAGGAGCAGCGGCCTAATTGAGACAGTATTATAAGTAATGGCTAAATCTGTTCGCTCTAAGTCTCGGCGGAAAGCTGCGAGAGTTAGAAGGGAATTTTTATTAAAGAAAGACGTACCTTCTTGTGTTTGTACTTTTTTATGTACTAATGTAAACCTTTCATGGTAATAATACAGTGTTTGGCCGCAAAAATTATAGCTCCTAGTCAGCTGAGCCCCGAGGAATTAAGGAATAACCGGTTAAGTTTGGAAGGTCTACAAACTTACATATGCGTTATTAACAGTGTTACTATTTTTTTCAACGTTGTCCATTCATTCAATTAGCAGATCAATATACATACTTCACAAATTAAACTTTGTTTTTATTTTTACAAGTTACGACGATATGTTAAATAATTGTACGCCTATTCGTAATGAACTTGTATGAGATTTTTTAGCTGGTTTTTACAGTATATTAAGAGGGCTGGTGATAGAAAGATGTTTTAATTTAGAAAGTTTATTATTTTTATTGATTGGTTAAACTTTTTTAGGAAGAGCTTATGAGGTGGGTGGCCTTATACGAAGAAGAAATAGAAAGAGAAGCTTTAAGAAGAAGTTCTTTTAAGCTCTTCTTCTCTTTTAATTAGTTATTCTCTTTAAACAATATTAAAGTATTTACTTGCATACTTCAATTTTTAAACTACAATTCAAATCTAAAAGTATTTTTCTGCTTCTTTCAAGTTTGTATAAGAAAACACTTTATTATAATAGAAGATCCCTAATTTAACAAAGCTTAACGATTCCGTTTATTAATTGCGTTAATCCAAAGATGGGGGAGTCCTTTTCTGTTGGCTGGAAAAGAAAAGGATAAATCGTGGTGCTTAGGCAAATAATTTCTCCTGTTCGCGTTGGCTCCTTTAAGAACAGCCGTTGGCCCTAAAAAATCAGTTGAAACAATTGTTTTGTTAAATGTCTTGCAAAGTTAAAGAAAATAAGTTATTTTTAAAAAGTCAGTTGTAGATGGTCTGATAAACCTTGTGGTCAAAAACTTTTGAAAGTGGTAGATCTGCGCGACTTACGGGTCTTTTGAACTTGACATTAATTACGTCTTCGGCTTCATTGCGCTATATAAAGAAATAGATAATTTTTAAAAAAGTTGTATAAAGTAAATTTATTAAGTCAAAGTCTTTAAAAAAACGGATCATTTATTTGTTAAAACTTTGTCTTTACCTTAATTGATAAAGTGACTACTGAGGACTGAATCTTGTTGCTGGGTATCTTATGGAGTAACGGATAGTGTTCTAAAGGTTTCCGGTGAAGTTAAATCGTGCAGTTGGAAGTTGTTAAGTATTAAGTAAATAGCCTTACTTTTGTTACTTAGAAGAAAGTTGGCGTATTTCTGGCTGAGCAATTCGATCCACTTAACGTACGGGTTTACATAACGGCCCTCCTGGCTTACAGAGGAAGAACTCGTGAATGTGTTTCCTGGTAATAACTTCTGGCACAGTTTATCAAACTAAAAAAAAATTAAGTTATTATGACGCAAGAAGACCGATAGTTTTTGCAAGTTTAGCCAGCACTATATAAGGTTACCAATAAATGAACTTATTAACGTAAAACGAGGGGCAGTATAAAAAATAGCTACTACAAACCGCAAACAAAAAATAAAATTAAAAAAATGTTCTTACTTCAAAAAAAAATTAAAATTGGTTATGCAGTACAAATGAACTGTAAACGAGAATAAAATATAAAAAAAATTTGTTAAATTTACATTTTTTTCAAACCGAAGAGAGATCTCGTAATAAGAACGCTGAGGCTCGTTGGTTGGATCGTATACTTTCCTATAACAAATCTCAAGACAAAATTCTCTACAAACTTTGGTAATAACACCTAAGAGTTACACCAGCTTGGCTTACAGGAGCCCAAGGGACATAGAAAACGGGATTCATTTCATTCTTATAAGTCAAGAATAATCTAAGAAAGAAATAGAATATCTAAAACTTATGCTATATTGAAACGGCATATTTACCTCTTGTTATTTTCTTTAAAGGAAATATTTTTGACACTCACATTCATAAAAGCCTATATAGAGGAAAACAAAAACAGACACGTCTGAAAAGAGCCAGGTTTTGTATAGAAAATTAATAAGCTTTATAAATCGTAATATAACTTACGTTAGGTAAAACTTTGAATTTAGAAAGAGCGCGAGTAAACTGTTGGAGGTCAAGTTTGTATTCTTCTAAAGGATGAGTTTCTTTATTTAAACTAACTTTATCTTTGATATCTTCAAATCCTTTCTTCGAACTAGCAATGGCGTAACCACGAAAGAAAAAAAGAGAAGAACGTACTTTTAAACTTTCCAGAAACGCCATATCGAAGAATGTATTACTAAAGATACTCCTTATCCTCATTAGCGTCGTGTGCAGTTATATACATGCAGGCCTTCTGAAACGTTGCAATGTAACCCTCATAAGCAAAAAACTTGTTTTCGTTCGTCATACTTTAACTAAAATTCTTTGTTAGTGAAATTCTCATGAAATAATTTTTATTTTATTTTACATGCAAAGAAGCCGTATGTACATGTCGTGCTGTTTAAAATCCCAGAAGCACAGTACTACTGAGGGGAGACAGTTTACTACTACCTACTGTGTTTTTAACCTAAGTCCGTGAAAGCTTTCACCATCCTTTACCCCACTGTACCACTACATAATATGATAAACTCCCACTGTTGCGGTGCAAGCGGGGGGCTGAACAGCTGCATGGGATGAGAATAAAAGAAAAGCGCGGTCGCGAAAGCCTAAGCTATCATTGCCTCCGCTTGCATGTAAGGACGTTGCAGGAATTCTTATCATATAGCGCCCATGAGGTTTGCTTTATTAATATAATGTTGCGGAATGTGGAAAAACACAATATAATTTTCGTAATACTTCAAACCCTACAAGATGGATAAAAAATAGATCAAAAAAGAAAACCTATTAAATTTTTTAATAGAAACGATAAAAGAAAATTATTGATGCCGAAAATATGTTAGGATTAGTGCTTCAAGTTTAGAAGAAACAAATAAAATGAAATAGCTTGATACTTCGGTATCTACAATACAAATATAAAAAGAAAAAAAACTTTATTAGGCATTACGATAAGGGATATTAACCTTGCTCTACTTATAGCCCCTGGCAGCAAACTATCGCCTTTGCTCCTAAGGTGTAACATGTTTCAAAGTCTTTTTTTGAAGCATATAGCTTACACTGATAAGTTACTAGACTTTTTTAAAAGATTACTTGAGCAAATCAAAACTTCAGAAAGGTCAAAAGAAAAATTGACGACTAGTGACAAATCACTGCTTTAAGCGTCTTATTAATTTGCTCTTTAAATAGCTAAAAAATAAAGAATCGTTTACTTCTGTGGGGGAATCGGTAATGCCTTGCATATTAATTGCGCACATATAATTTTGTTGGGTTCCGAATAAGAAATCAGCGGTAAACCGTTTTCCGGCAGCACTATATTGAGTTGAATTGTTGACATAACCAGCGATATTGAAAAGCAAGTTTTTAGAAGGGAAAAGAAATTTAAATACCTTGCGAGTCCACGATGAACAACTAACATGAGTAACCATGCTATCTTTGCTTCTCGAAAAATAGTGGAGATGTAGACCTAAGGGCAGATCTTAACGGCACGCTAGTTTAGAGATCTTTAATACTTTTGATAACTATTTTTAAACACAGGGTTTAGACTGGGGTAAAATGTGTGTGTGCAAAGACGGCGCTGCCAGCATGACAGGTTGGCGTTCAGGAGAGGTGGAAAATTAAAGTAGTTGCTTCCCAAGAAGTTTTGTTCACACACCGATTGATCCACCAGAAGCATCTAGCTGCAAAGAAGCTCTCACTTAAACTGAATGTGTTAAATGACGAGGTAAAGATTATTAGGGTATTTAAATCTTGAGCTTCTAGCAATTAACTGTACACAGATATATATATTTTAAGTACAGATTACGAACGTGACTAAGACGAAAGCGCAAAAAAAATTAATGCGGCTGCTTGTTAATTTTTTAAGTGATTGCTCCTTGTATACTAATAATTAAGCGATAGAACGAATCTTTAAAACAATCAAAAGAATTGTTTAAAATTGGCAATTTGCGATATAAATTATGAACTGGGATCCTTTTTCTCAACAAAGATCATTACGTAGTCGAGCTACGAACTCAAGATTTTTTAAACCACCTTGCGCCTCAAGCCCCGTCATCTCCCACTTAATGCAGAAATAAATTGGTCACCCGAGGGGAAGGGTTCTTGCACCCTTGTTTAAAACAGAGAAAGAAGTAAATCAATTTTTGCGAGAACGGATAGTTGGCCGGAAAGAGCCTTTGCGGAAGGAGGTATGGGAAGCTAAACTTGCGTATATGGCGGACATATTTCTCTTATATGGCCATGCACCAGTATTTCTACATTCAGTAAAATGGATGCCTTTTGAAAAAAAATGACTCTTTGAGATAGCCGCATACAAGAGGAAGACAAGGAAAGGTTTCCACTTTTGGAAGAATATAGTCAACATAAATAGTAAATATTTAAAGCATTATCGGAAAACTTTAATAACTATTTTACTAAAAAGAAGACCCACGTAAAGAAAACCCTAGGATTAATAATCTTTTTTATGAGGTAAAGTCTTGAAGCACTCGATCCCCGTAAGAAAGGAAAGCTACTCGAATCGTCTTCTAATGCCACTTTGAGGACTAGACAAAAAATGGATTAATTGTCTTAAATTTGGAGATTTTTCAATCAGTAATATGTACCTCTGAGGTATACAGCTATTAAATCGTTGGCTGTATTTTTGGCTTTTTCTTGTGAGAAGACCACGGTCACACGCTTTATTGCCCAGTTTTCTGTATCTATACCTTTAAAAAGGCTAATAGAATTATTTCCAATTTACCAGATTAACTTTTTTAATTTTTTCTTTTGGCTCAATTTTGTATCAAAATTATTAAAGGAATCAAGTGGGGATCATTTCGTGTTTGAAAAAAAAGTATTTTCTATACTGATACTTTATTGGCTACTACCCATTTTAAAACGGATCAGTTTCCTATGAAAAAAATTTATGAAGGATTGTGTTTTGTTTTTCTTTTTGTAATTTAGTTTTTTATGACTGTCTTTCGCCTATGTTTCTTTGTGTCTATTACATTTCATAATCGCCTTTTAGTATATAAATGTATGTTATTAATTGTCTATTTTTTGATGTATGGTAATTGTGGTTTTGTGGACTAGTTGAATATTATGTGCATATTTTGTTGTTAGTTGTTTCTTGTTATGTTTAATTATCACTTTTCAACCTACTAGCCTAGCTCACTTAGCACTACGCTTTCTCATTCTGGTCGCCCATATTCCTTTTTTACTTAGTTTTCGTGTTCAAGACAAGTCAGCTAAAATATTGAGAATAAGGTACATAGTTTATGTTTTTCTACTTATCTAAGTCATACCCCATTCACTGAACTCTAGAATAATTTTTAATTTTTCTTTATAAGCAGTTGCAGTCATGATGCCCACCAGTCGTTTTTAAAGCAACAATAAAAGATTAAGCAAAATTATGCAAGTTTCATTAATAATTTTCCAGTTCTTACCATGGAGTTACGTATATACGTCTTCTAATTTTTATATCATCCTTTGCAGCCTTCCTGCAGGGAGTGTTGCCAATCTCTGTGTTATTCTTATTGTTTTTCAGTGAAGCAACTACCTTTATAAAGTCAATATTTAAAATATAAATTTTCAATGGATTTTACTTTGGTGCATAGAACAGCGAATGATTATATATTATTCAAGCGGAATTTGCAATCTATACAAAGAAATTTCTAAAGGAATTTAGGAACAACAATCTGCTGAAAGTTATCAATACTGACAAAAATCGAGAACCTGTTTTAATGACAACAACAATGCAGTATGTAAATTGGTGCAACGACCATTACAGATACATGCTTATCTCGAAATTCAGAAGACAATAAAGAGGAGATATTGACAATGTGTCCAGATATTGTTTAAACCACCTCTGATTTATTATATTGCCAAAAAAAAAAAACAAGACATAAACCTTAAGAAATTTTTTCACAGGATAGTTGATCCGTTACTAAACCAATTAGTAAATAAAAATACTACCAATAAAAAAAAGAACAGGTAAAATTACTGGCCAAGCTGTTGGTTGCAACCCCCACTCGCGTAGTCACTCGAGTAGACTGTAGCGCTTACAACAATAAAATTGATATAAAATGAGGTAACAAGTTTTTTGCTCTTTTTATTTTTTTGTATCATTAGCAAACTACGGCTGTTCTTCTTCAGACCTTAAGCCGCTATAGTTGTTTCCCCTATCCAGCATGGGAAGGTAAACTGCGCACCAGTGTACGCTCCTTATAGAGCTATAATGACTGTCCCGAAGGTCTGAAGAAGCGGGAAATAAAGGGAGCAGGCTTTCTCCCATTCCTAGTGCAGTTGTAAACCGCTGAAAACCACCACCGTGATGGGCGGCCTTCGGCATAAGACCCGAGGCTACCTGGGGACACCGACCGGCACCACTGCCAGCCAGGTCTGCCCGACTATGAGTTCCTCACCAGAAGGGAGGAGTCGCTAAATTTAAAACTATACTACAACTGCAGTTGAAAATAAAGACAAAAGAGACTGGGCGTGCTGTTCGTTCGTATAATGCATATATAATTAACTAAACAGGGTAATGTGCGTGTGCCCTTGCTGGACTAACTCATAATAGTACTTAACCTCTTATTATAAAGAAACAAAAATACTAATTCTTAATGTAGTAATTTTATATCAATTTTACTAACATGGAAATAATTATATGATTCTTCTGCTAAGTCTTGCCTCGGTACGCGTAGTATAACAATATATTAACTTGCGTCTACGCAATTAGGTGGAAGTAGGAAAGAAACTGAAACAGGTTTATTGAATTGCTTTCTGCCTACGCCCGTATAACAAAAGTAAGGTAGAAAGCGCGGTTATAAGCATTCATACACTAATCTTAAAGGCATTACATTGCATCATTTGGTTTATATCAGCCGTTATTAGCTATAATTGTGACGAGATTTGAATAAATATTATAACTTCCCCCACCCCCCCCCCCCCCCATCATTTTTACTATCTCAAATCTTACCATGGCCTGTTTGTTCGACTTTTTAAACCAACTTCATATTTTTCAATACAATCTCAGCATGTTTACGGGAGCAACTTGGTTTGTGCGAAATGCCCATTTACATCATAAATGTGAATTGAACTACTTTTGCTTTACCTTAAACGGCAGGCTATATAATGTTTTACACATTATGAAGAACACCCCCAACAATTTATAACCATCGCTGTAGACTATTCTCCGCACATTTTTTAACAATGTAAACGACCTTAACATTTTATTTAATCTATCATAAAAAACCGAGTATTGAAGCGACTTTAAAACACTTATTTCATGATAATAAAAAATAATCTAAATTTTTTGGTTAAATAGGTAAAGTCATTACATGCCGGGATCAAGAGCCGTTGTCCTAGCTAAGTGATTAAAAGCATTTGACGCGCATGCTCGGTCGTGGGTTCGATTCCCAAGACGCGACTCTCTTTACGATCGTTGATAATTGCATGTGTCTAGCCCGCCTCTAAATTCTAATACATCCAACGTCATTACTGCCTTCCCCTCTGCAGAAAGAACCCGTGCATTTAGTTTTAAGAAGCTAGGTGCCGAGTTCCTTGATGTTGATTAAATGGTTGACTGACGTAAGTTATAGGGCTGGCCCCACAAACTGCACGCTAGAGCTCCCTTGCCTGTTTTCTTTGACGGACCTCAGTTTTACCTAAAAAACTGTTTATTTAGCACACGTACAAGCGACGCACAGCCACCCGCTTTACTGCATCAGAGTCTGCAGTAATATCTTGCCAATTGGTGTCGTCGGTGGGGAATTATTACTAAGGCGACGACGACGACGTGCGAAACAGTTTAAATCATAAAGAACAGAACTAACCTTTACTCCTGTTCGCTTTAAAGGTGTGAGTAAGCTTGTCTTAACGGCAGTACGAGGACTTAGTAGTAGCAAAAGTCAAAGTATAGACTTAAATTATATACCCCTAACTTTGTGCTAAACCCTCGTCGCGCAGTTAGCGACGCTTGTACGAATTGTATATTCGCTTAATCATGATACAAGCGTATGCTGTCTAGGCTAATGATTGGCAGGAATATCGTTCTCGCGCCATGTGCGACAAAAAAACTGCTTAATGTAATGATACTCCAACCGCAACGCTTATCGTTGACTACGCCCAAGTATTTAGCTTGATAGCCCAATAGGTTCTTAACACTTTGAGGGTTAGTTGAAAAGTAGTGCAGTGTATAATATAGAAATGAGAATTGTCCTAATTTTCTCTGCATATCAATGGTTGCTTTTCTGCCAAGACCCGTTGGCATGAGTGTCCAAGTAGCGTTTAGGTGTTGTTGTAATAATGAGGGACCTTTTGAGGGTGCGTAACTTGCAGTGTCGTCGGCGTAGAATGCGATGCGGGCGTGTGGATTCTTAGGGAGTGAAATGTTTTTCATGTATAGCGCGAAAAGTAGGAATGAGAGAAAAGAGCCTTACGGGACTCCAGCTGTCAGATGACGATATGGTAACGGCCTAGCGCCAATTTTCACTTGAAAGGTGTTTTAGGTCATGAAATGCAATGCCCGTAGATTTTACTAAATTAAAAGTTTCCAGTCGCCCACTTAGCAAAGCGCAAAAAAAAGTTTATTTGTCGCCCAATGGTATCTACGATGAACCTTGATTTGCGTAAGATGACGCTCGTTTTTACATAATGCCAAATGATATCTTAGGAAAGAAAATTTTCTTCTATTTAACAGTAGAAGTGCGTACACTGAATGCTTTTTATGGAGGGCATGTGTTAAATAGCTACATTATGTTAGCCCGACTTCTCTTTTTTACTTAAGTTAGCCTTGTTTTACTTATAAGCAATTATGAAAAAAAAGTTATTAACTTCGGAACCGCCTAAAAGTAGTTTATAGTTTTTTCTATGTATCTTAAACTTACAAGGCGAAAATTTTTAGATTGCCCGGGAACTAATAGTGAGGATGCGGGCAAAAGTGAAGCTTGTCAAGGCTGTCCTAATCAAGGGATTTGTTCCACAGGAATCCCGGTGGCCCCCGATTCTGGTTCCACACGTTTTTTTAAAATTTTTTATTCTGTTTATATTTAAAACTTTTACTTGATCAATAAGATATGGAGGCCATAAGAGAGAGGATGTCCACTATAAAAAATAAAATTATAATTTTATCTGGAAAAGGGTTTGCTTATTTTTATACTTGTTAATAAGATAATAATTTTTCTGTTAACAATAACTAAAAAAAACGTATTGGATACTTTATGTTTATTATAATAAAACTAGCGGCGTTGGCAAGTCAACAGTTTCTACGCAGTTGGCCTTTACTTTATCTCGTGATAAAAACATTGAAGTAATAATTTATTAAATTACTTGTATACCATTTATAAGTTGCGTTTGAGCAAGTTTTATATTGTCCTTATTCTGCTTGAAAGTTTGTATTTATTTTTTATGGCTTTTGTTATTATACAGTAGCTTTTCAGTATTTTTGGTTTATATTCATTAGTATGTTGTTTTATATTTTATTAATTTGTATTTAATTTATTTCTAAAATTAATAAGAAACTTTTTTTATTTTTTATTTTAAGTTTCTTATTTGTTATTAGTTACAGTTTATACACTTTTTATCGAGGAATCTTTTTTTGCTCATAACTACTTGAATTCTGTAGTTTTAATAGCTTACAATTTAATTTTTTTTTAAGTCCACTTGTTTTAATTCATTCTATTTATAATTTTTTACTGCGTTGAGGTTGGCCTTTTGGATATTGACATATGCGGGCCGTCCATCCCGTTGACTCTGGGTCTGCAGGGCGAGCAGGTTTCTAAAATTACCGATTTTATAAAGGATTTATGTAAATTTTTAGCATAGTATCCTTATTTTTATATTACCGGATATATACCGGGACTTTTGCTAATGAAACATATAAATTCTAAGGTTCACTGCAGCGGGAGCGGTTGGCAGCCCGTGTTTGTGAGCGAGAATCTGTGTGCTATGTCCATCGGGTTTCTTCTTCCCCGCGCGGACGAACCGGTTATTTGGAGAGGCCCCAAAAAAAACGGTTTTATAGAATTTAGGAATTACATTTTTTTTTAGTGCTTAAATTTTGGTTAAGAAAATTATATATATGTTGCTTCCGTCGACAAGTCTATTATTTATTATGACTTATTACTTCTTAAGTTATATTTAAGAACTCATAATCAGCGGTACTTTTTATTGATTATAATTAATTTACTAACTGAATTGTCCCTTTTATTTTTTATATTTCGAGGGCTGATCCGACAGTTCCTGCGGGAAGTCGAATGGGGCTCGCTGGAGTATCTTCTCATTGATGCACCGCCAGGCACGTCCGACGAGCATCTCTCTATTGTCCAACTGCTCAAAGAGGATCTCACCGGAGCCGTCGTAGTAGCCACTCCGCAGGTTAGCACTACTCTTTTTTTCTCCACTCCGTGCGACGTATTGGGAGGTTTTTTAATTTCAGAGCATTTCACTTTTAGACGTACGGAAAGAAATTAATTTTTGCAAAAAAGTTAACCATTATTTCCATAAAACATACTTTTTTTGTGTTAATAGCTCGCGATCAGGTTGGACTTCCCCTCATTGGTGTTGTGGAGAATATGAGCGGCTTTGTTTGCCAGCACTGCAAAGTCGGTTTTTTTTCTATTAATAGTAGTTGCGTCCATCCATCCGCGTTTAGCTATTTCAGCTTAACTTTGCTATTTTAAGAATTTGTGGGCTAATATGTAGAAAAGTGATTAAATCTTTTTTTTATACCAGAAGTTGTAAAAGTTTGTTGTGACCTCAACTTTATAGAAAAAAGAAAAAAGCATTCCTTTTTGATATGAAGTTATAAAGAATAGCGGGCTGACTTTTGTACTTAACCCAGCGGATTGTCACGATTCAGTTTTCGCTGGTTTTATAGAGCGTTGAATTGTTATGCTTTTCTCGCGAGGGCTCTGTCTCGTGTTTCTGCTGAGGATTCAGTTATTTGATAGGCGATTGTATATGAGCAGTCTTCTATATGACCTCTACTTTTCTTTCTGTTAATAGTATTATCGAGAGATGTAGGGTACGCGGTACCACTTTAACTCTGTCGTCATTTTGAAGATCCTTATGATTATTCTCCTTTTTTTATGCTGATTTTAAAGCAGAAGTCAAGCGAGCTTTTTACGTCGAGCGAAGGGGGCGCTGAGCGGATGGCATCAGCAATGGGCTGCCCTTTTCTGGGTCGCATCTCTGTGGACCCCCGAGTGGGGCGCTGCACCGACAGCGGACTTTCATATGTGGATGCATACGAAGACCAGCCGGTGGCTGTCCAGTTTCTTTCCCTCGCAAAAAGCATATCTTTTTTTTAATTTTTTTGTTAATGACTAAATTTGCCTCCTTTAGAAGTTTCTGATTACTGCTTGGGAAAAAAAACTTGTGGACAGCAAGAAAATTTGATATAATTTTCATTTCTTCTCCGTTTCTTTACATTTGGTTCTTCTTTGTTCTCCAAAATATATTCGTTTATTATAATTATTTCCTTTTTTTACTATTTTTTGGCTTAATTTGTACTAATCTTATAACGTTGCAATATATCATTGTAATTACTTATCATTATAACTTTATTATATATTAATTTAATACTTTTTTTATGGGTCTTTCGTAACCATTTCTGTCTACTACGTTTTTTTAATTCTAAATAATTATGAAATTAATTTAACTTATACTGGATAGCTGACTTTCAAGATAACTATTTTTCTAGGATCTGCTACAATTTGAGTATATATAAAAGCCATTCTTAGAAACTTACAATTTTTTTCTTTGGCCAGAGCTTTATATATCACTGTTCTAAAAAGCAGAACCGAAATATTATACGCCTCATATCTAATATATACACTAGGAAATAGCACTATTCAATAACAGTGCTAGTACTATAAAATACCGAATATCATATAGTAACACTAGCGCTATTAAGAAGCGGAGCGGGCCGTGCTAACACGGAACCGAAGAGTAACCGAAGCAAACAGTACTCCTAGCCCGAAGGTAGCCAAGAACTGAAAAGAATACCAGTACTATACAAGCAAATCAAGTAAATATAGTACCAGCACTCTAAATCAGTCTTTAATAAAACAATTATCTCGAGCCGAAACTCAATCAAATTAATCATTTGACTAGACCACAGGACCTTGGACGAGGGCTAGTGCTTTTGTGTTGCTCACTGTATAGACCTGTTCACACTCAAAAGCCTTCGCACGCAGTTAGTGAATTGCAAGCAGTAGTATCTATACAGCTTAACTGTTTCTGTCAATATGCTAAAAGTGAACATATCGGTTTACCACATCACTTCCGTTATTTTTCACAGAGGATTGTCGCCGGAAGTCAACCCTAGTATACGTCGCGGGTGAACATAAGGTTCTTTTGTTACTTAAGTCATTAGACCAGCTTAGTTGTGCTAAACTTATACCGTCGATGGTAGTACTTGATCGAGTTAACCAACCAGATAGCTAGTAAAGTATATACAAGTTAAAGATAGTAGTAACAGGCCTTCTAATACAGGGAAGATAGCACCTGCTTAGATGTACTTATTTGCTGCGTAGTTTTTACCAATTTTAAGGGCGTATCTTTCGACACGTAATAATAAGCCTTCGTTTCTCCTAAATAACCTGTAGACCTCAAGTCACCTAGGCTAAGCAGAATAACCTTATTCATAAAAGTAGTTTGGTGAGCACTCCTACAAGGTTCGGGTACTATTGTCTTCGCCTTAGCTTGCAGGACCCTACGATCATAGAGTAATTATTAAACACCACAAAGCTTCGATTAGTTTACACCTACATGCTAGTCCACTTTAGGATGGCGCCCCTTAGTATTAATTTTCTGTTCCTAAGGTACCATGAGACACCGGGAATAACGTACGCAGCAACCACGTATTAGATGGACCAATCTTTTTTGGTCACTTTACGAATGTCAGCCTAGGTTCAAAAAAGCAAACCTCGCTCCGACAAAGAACGTACTAAACTCAACAAATGATCATAATTTCGACCAAACAGCCCGAGGTCCGTGACAGAACAAGCCCGTAATGCTACCGTTACTAGCACCAGCCTATGTAGTTGCCTCAGCGTCTACTAATCCAACAACCAAGGTCTTACTTCCTACAATCAAAATTTAGGCTTCGACGCAAGCTCGTGCACCGATAAAGTGCACAAGAGGAGGTGAGAAGTGAAGCAATTTAATCAGCTCGCTCTCTTATTACGGTGTTTCAACCTCTTGAGAGTGTTAAAAATGACCTATTTTACGTCTCTTAATTATAATAGGGCTTATTACTAGTAAATAAACTATATAAGACTAGTATAGATATAAGCACTATTTTGAGAAAGTTAATTTTTTGCTAATTTTATTTTATACATTTTCGTTATTAACTGTATCTCTAAACATTTAGGTACTAGCATAGAAGCTACGAGTGTTTACATTTTGTTTAATTTATTCTATTGTATTAATTATATTTATATTTCTAATTGTAAAAATGTAAACTGGATAAGATTTTTATTATATGATTTTATTACATTTTAAGTTTATTTTAATTTATTTCTTTTATTTTAATTTTAGTTATTGTAGTACAAATAACCGCGTGCGAAGGATTTTGCTATATTTTAGGTAAAAGGTACAACTAAACATGCATCCTTCAACCATATTAGTGTCCTATGTAACTTAGCAGCTTTCGTCAACAATTTAAGTGAAGAGATTGACTACGACTGATCTGCCTACGTGCCGCATAAGGATGTAACGAGTCAGCAGGCAATGCTGATACTCAACGTGAAGCGATCCAACAAGTAAATAGTCGATTCTATTTGTGTTTTGTTAGATTTTACTATAAGCCATCATCACGCTACGAGTTAGTCAAAGCTAATTATATTGTCAAACAATGAAAGCTAATAGGATGTGAATTAATCTTATTTGCCTTGATAGAAGCAGGCTTAACGGGTTACTTAAATTTAGTACCCCCGGTTTATTAGCTCAGTTAGCTATGTAGTTTATCCAACTTTTGTTTATTTAGCTTGATTGATTTTATAGCTAATGATGAAAAGCATATTGGTTGGCTTGGGTTGAGCTTAGCGTTGAGTAGTTGATTCAAAAGTATTTTTAGTTATTATATTTAGGGTCTCTACTTAGCTCCCCCACTAAGTCAATAATTTGACAACATTATGCCTCCAAAGCTAGTACATTAAATTATTTAATTTATTTTTTTGTTTGTTTTTGTGTGTTATTTATCTATTTTATATATTATAATTTTAGTCAATAAGATTGTTAGTTGTAAGCTATTAGGTAACTATAAATAGGCACTAGTAAATGATAGTTAAATTACAGACAAATGATAATATTATAGTATAATGTCAAGCACTATAACTTTTGGGTCAATGTTGTAAATAACAATTAAACAATTTTTTAATTTAGTCAGCTTTTTGTCTATAGTAGCTAACTTATCGCAAATTTAAGGGTTTAATAATTTTAGTTAACTTTAGTAAGTTTAAGTTAATATTAGTTAACTTTAGTTTAAATTAGAAAAACCCAAGTCTACACGATAATGATTTACTTGTTTATGATATAAAAATATTTTACTAGTTTAATGTAAGTCAAGTCAAGGTTTAAATCAATATCATACATTAGTTAACATCAAAATTTAACCAAATTGATAACCTGTCTGAATAGTTTATCAAATTAATAAAAAGTTAGTTTAATTAGTTATTTTTTTAAACCTTTTAAGTGTTTATTAAGTTAAATTTAAGTAGAGATGGTTTATTAATTTATTTGCTTAATTAAATAATGATTACGAGCTTTTATAATTGTTCTCGCTTTACTAAAGTTTTTATTGATTTTCATTTACACTGTCGTAGTAAAATTTAGTTATCGACCACATGCGACACATGAAAGCGCTCCTGCATACTTAGATATAACGTTTAACAATTTTTAACTAGTTTGCAAGACGCTTAGTACATGTACGTATCACACTAAAGGATTTTCCAAGTCAAGCTCTGAATAGTCAAGGCTATAAAGGAGGTTAGCATAACATTTATCTCTCCACGTGTTTGTAAATTTTGTGATCCTTGAGTGAGTTACGGATTGCTACAATGGTTATTTAACTTGAACAAAAATACGTAGATAACCACTATCATCAAGGCCAATAAGATTCTAAGGATATTACACTAGTAACTTTATTAAAATTATATTACTGTTAAAATTTATTATTATTTTAAAAATTATTATATTAAGATCTTACCGTAAAAGAGGGCCAACTCCTCAAAGGTTGATCAAGGTTACAGTTGATTCTTATTTATTTTAGCTAATAAGCTAAGTAAATTGTATTTATCATATTATTAAAGTTTAATCAAATTTATTCAATCCTTCATGCTACAAAATTAGCACTAGATTATTACTTATGTAACAGAGTCTAGATTAGAAGGTTTATCAATTAGAATCTATCAAGACTAATGTAACTAACTAACAGTCTAGACATGTTAGCTAGTTAAAGGTTCTACCAAAGTAGAACGAAAAAACCAGGAAGGATAAAGATTTCCTCTTTTCTATTTCTAGTGACCTAGGAAAGGCTTTAGCCTCTGGGACGACGATTGCATAGCATTTCACCTCGCCTGGTACTACGTTCCACCAGGTCAGCTAGCGAAACAAAGAGGAAATCATTAGCTTACTTTTTTTTTCCGTTCTACTTTGGTAGAATGATCTAATTCTCATTTCTAGAGTGTTAGTTAGTTTTGTTCTACCAAGTTGAACTCCTTACTGGAGTAGATCGACTTGGGATAAACTAGTTCGAGTCTAGTCGGTAATATTTTGTAAGTAAGGAGGTATGTCTAACCTTGAGGTTCTGCCTCCTAATTTTCTTACATAACCGTATGAAAGTCAAATGAGACCTAGCTCGAAGGCTAAAGATACTAACCTGAAGTCCATCGATGGCGCAGTAGCCTAAATAAATTGACAACTGACGAAAGTCTAACTCAGCCTCAAGGACTACTGGCAAGGAATAAAATGACAACCTTGCTAACATACTTAAACTAGTTATCATCTTTACTACTAGGAAGTAATCTTTGTTTATCACTTTGACCTTAGTTAAAATATAGGCTCTGATATTCTCTTTCGTGTTGTGGAGTAATCTCATGGTTATACACCATTGACGATCGGTCTATAGTTCCTGACAGTGCAGCCATATTCATGATAATCCTTTATCTGTAGCTTGATTCAAATAAATTTAGGTGGAGAATCCTTAGCTTTCTCTTGGTCTTTATACATTGTTAGCTACCTCTTCGCCTTAGCTTACAAGAAACGGATTTATTCTCATCAAATTAAAGGTTATCTTAACGAGCCTAAAGTGAGAATAGCAAATAATAAACTCACTCAGGTTAATTAGTGTACTTTGCAAGAACTGTGAGCTAATGACACTGTGAAATTGATTTTTGCATTTTGTGCAATTTTTTACTTTTGTCTAAAAAGTACCTTTACTATATATATTTAAGGACTCGATTGAAGCGTTATAAGAGAGCGAGCTAGTTAACTCGTAATTGAGTGACAATCGTGTGCACGACTTTATCACGAACTTGTGAAGATCTGTTGTTTCGCTGTGATGCCAGCAGGTAAGTCTTATGTTATTCAATCAATAGATAACTATAACAAACTGGTTAGGTCATTGTATTCATGTGGATACATTAGGATACCAGAATTCCTTGGATCGTTTGTCATAACTTGAGGAGTTCGCGAAGCAACATACACACTTTAACATAGTTTAGGTATTGTGTTATCGTAAAGCGGCCAAAAAAGATTGGTCCCATTCCTACACGATCGCTACGTTTGTTGGTCCTTGCGTCTCCTGGTACCTGAGAAACAGAGAATGAAGAAATTAGGTTGCCATCCGCAGAAAGATTATCGTGTGTGTGTCTACTAGCTGAAGTTTTGTGGTGTCTAATAACTCTACGGTGATCTAGCCTCGTTAGCTAAAGCGAAGACAATAGTATCCGAACCTGACGAGGATACTTGCCAAGCGTTTGTTGTGATTATGGTTATCCTGCTTAGCCTAGGTGACTTGAGGTATACAGAATACTGTGGAGAGTCGAAGGCTTATTACTACGTACCGAAAGGTATCCTCTTAAAACTGGCAAAAACGACGTAACGAATAGGTACACTAGGCAGGTTATATTCTTACCTGTAACCGAAGGACTATTACTATTATCTCGAGCTATTAATTTAGGTTCTACCAACGACGGTACGAGTTTAGCATAATATAAGCTGGTCGGTTGACCTTTGAATGAAAATACATCATGTTCTCTGGTGAGGTATACTAGTGGTTGCCGTCCGGAGACAACCCCCCTCAGTGAAAAGCAATAGACGAGTTGATGAAACTAGACTAGTTTACTATTGGAGACTAGCTATTGTTAACTACTAAGTTGCATGCATGCCACTGCTTGTAATTCACCAACTGCGTGCGAAAACTTATGTCTAGAAAGATGTATGCATTGAGTAACCATTTGGCACTAGCTTTTATCTCGGAGCCGGTCAGGTCTTAATCGAAAGTTTGTGCTATGTTTGTAGCATATTACCTAGTTCGTAAGAGTCCCACCGAGTACTATTAGCATATATTAGCTAGCACTTGGTGCAAGGAAATTGGTTTAGTTCCGGCTCGATCGAAGAGTACTTGTTACTAAAGTATATAAATTGATATATAGATAGGAGCACTGAAATAGAATAGTGTCATTAGCTAGTATATAATAGGAGTGCCCGCTACCGTCAAATAATTATTTTAAAGTTTGTGCTCTGCGTGTGTGCCATAAATATTATGATTGCTTTTCCTGGTTTGAAAAAGCGGAGATGCGGAATTATAGGACTTGAGAGATTTCCTTAAAGAAAAACAAATGATTTATGTTTTTTGACACCGTTGCGTCTACTGATAGTAATATTATAAAAGTTTGGGAGTTGGAATAAATTTCAATGCAATGTTTATTTTACTTCTTCCTGGCGACTGCTTAAAACAAACTATACTTTAACCTGACTTTACCAGCAATTGTCAAGAATATAGTAAGCTCATCCCTTTTTTAGTACTTTTGTTAGGTTTTCCTCAAAATTATACTACTGGAACTATACTTTGAAGCGTAGAAAATATAAAAGAGGTGCTTATAGATATGCTTCAGTGAATAACATGTATACAATATTTACAATATTCAGCACCAAAATATTGCAGTAATTTGTCTTTTTTTAGGATGTTTTAATATAATTATAGAGGCATAAGTAGTACCGAAAAACGAGGCTCGTTATTGAATTAATAATGGCTATTATACTTTAAAATAATTGCGAATAGTTGAAAGGAGTTCTTCGACGGGCTCAAGAGAGTAGCGACTAAACCTGCGGCGGCACTTTTAAATATGGCTGTACTGAATTTTAATAAAAGAGCGCGTCGCTCTTTAAATTTTGAGTTGTAAAAGGCTGATCAAATAACACTGCCTAAAAACTCCCCAAACTAACCCACAGCTTTCCTCTATTAAAAAGCATTCGTACCACTCTTATCTGGTACCAACCCTCAGTTGAAACGTTGATAACATCACTTCTAAGTGACATTACCTTTGTTATTTTCAAAATAATGGAGAAAAAAAATTTAGTGAGTTGAATATGCACTTTTTTGATTAAAAAAAACCGTTCAAGTTCAGCGTTGGCTTGAAAAGTGTCATAGAATCTGCTCCATAAAAAACGATTTGTCGTTGAGTTGCTAGGTCTAAACGGGGGCCGTACGGGTTCAATTGATGCTGAACGCTTTGAACGCCCGGGTGAGGCAGTTACTCTAAATAAATTATGAAATACACAATGGTGTCATTTATGCTCGTAAAGTGAAGTCGCGTGAGTCAGCTGACATCGCAAAGCTTAATGACCATGTGGGCACTACCTTGCACGAATGTCAGGGCGTGAGAAAATTCTGATATGGAGTTCAAAAACGTTTTAATAAATTAGTCTGTTCCTAGCTGATATGAACTGAACTTTATCCTTTTGTAAAGGGTATAAATACTGACGGTAAACCGGTTCCAAAAATTGTCTCTGTAAAAATATATCGTGTCATTTATTTCACGTATTGTTTTTACTTTACCCATGGCCTTGTCTTCTATATTATTTTAATACTTTACAGCCAATGTTATATATAAATCATTTTTAGAGGTTACGTTATAAACAGACAGGCTGATCTTAGCAGGAAGCCTTATCCTTAGTTCAGTTTGCAGCAACTGTCTTTGTTGTCGACCTTCCTTAGTTAGAACCGCTTGTCTATAAAAAGGCTTAATCTTTATATGTATATTCCAAAAAAAATTTAACTCACAAACTAGTTAACCTCAACACAAGCCAATGTTGACCGATAATTAATGCGTGTGTAAAATACCACTAACTCGACTAAACCTCCGTGCGTTAATTTAACTCCGAACACATCGCAAAATTCTACTAAGCGCTCCTACATCACATTTAAAAGATACAGTGACCCAATGCCTATGTTTTAGAAAAAACCTTAAGTATTGAAACCTTTACCTTATATTAAAGTCAGTTGCAACATAGATTTTTTTTTTGTTAAATAAGAATATCAACGCTTAGCGTAGCGAAAAGCTACCTTTCGTATATAGAACTGTTGTGAAGCTTTATTTCGGCATTCCAATTGAGAAATATTGTAGAAAAAGCTGGCAAGATCTGCGAAGGCCTCCTATAACTGTCAATTAACCAGATCTCTTTAATGGCGACCAAATTTTCCAAACACAGAACGTCATAAATAGCAAAACACTAGTGTTGCAGTTGGAGTTTAAACTTTTAGGGCTAATGCAACCTATGTCTCTTTAAGTTTCTTTGCTATCCGACATGAGGCATGGGGGTCTCCGTTCACTTTTGATTTTGAAGCGAGTAGAACATAAAACTAGTCTCGACGGTAGTGCTAAAAGTTATTTCCTTTTTATATGGAAATAAGCAGTTCGATCCAGTTTTTTAAATAATCTCCCTCAGATATATATCATTTGAGCTTTACAGGAGCTGCCTGAATAAGAATATATATTGTTTTATTATAAAAGAAAATAGTGGTATAAGCTGGGAGTATACTACTGTTGGTGCTCTTGCATAAGAAAGGATTGTTATTTAATAAAAAGAACTCCTGTCTTCTGGAAGCCGAATTTCGAAGGATCACTATTAGCTCAAATGAGGAGCTTCGTAAAGGACTGAAGACTGTGTACATCTTTTAAAAACGAGACTAAATGACGAAAAGAACCTTGAGAAAATTCCTCTATTATAAATAATATTGCTAATCCCTACTCTGCTCTCCAAACACTTAACGAGCCTTGGAAAGAAGAAGTCTTAGAGGAAAGTGAAGGAAATGCTTTTATGATAAAAGGCAATAAAAAGAATTATATTCACTATAATAACAAAAACATTAATTATAGTAATAATAGTAACAATAATACAGAAACAAAGTAAATAGTAGTAGTAATAAATTTAGTAGTAACACTGCGAATAACCTTGATGACTGTATTAATCTCAATAGTAAAATTATTAGTAATATCACTAAAAACTCTTTTTAAATAGTAGTAACAAAGACACAGATATGTTTCATAGAGAGAATGAAAAGCTTTAGTAAGAGATGGGCGTACTACTCCCAACGCCCGAGATACTCCAGCGACTCCGAATCACCTTCCGCGGCTGCACCTCCTCTTAGGCGAAATCTTACCTGTGCTCCTTTGCGAAAGATAAAAGTGGAACCACTTCATAAAAATTCTGCTCACCAACGGCGCCAACAACATACCGAAATCTAGGGATACCCGACAATGAATTAAAATAAGTTTAGCACTTCGAATATCGAGTCGTCACTAACTTACGAGTGATGAAGAGCTACCTCATTACATTTACCAACTACCAAAGGACAAGTTTTTAAAGTTTTTTCTTCGCGGAATCTTTTGTGATCTCGACGTTCAAACCGTTAGGGAGATTTATGCACGCAAGGCAAGGTTGCACGTTGAGGACACTGTTGAAGGGAACTCTCGAATCTACCTCTACCAATGGCGTTAGCGCATATACTGAGATGTTATCGACAAAAACTCTTGGAATTAAAGACGGTTTTTCTACCATTAGGTTAGGGTGGGAGAGCTCCAAAAGGGTAATCGAATTGGACAGTGCCACCTCTGTCAGGTCTTCGGACAGAGCGCAAGTTTCTGCTCTGCAGTCCCCCGATGCATTAAATGTGGCGAGGGCCATCTGACTGCACTGTGCACAAAAGCACGAGAAAGCCCTGCCAGTTGTGTTAATTGCGGTGAAGCGCACACTGCCAATTACCGTGACTGCAAACATTACCCGCGAAGACCTACACCGTCCCATCAAGCAGCTCCACCAACACCTCAAAACCGGTCCCCGTTAATGTAACCCCGACAATCTCTTATGTCGCTCGCTTGTCCACAAAGGCAACTCCTCAGACAAACCTAACAACCACAACCAACTCTCCGACAACTGCTTTCCATATTGACGACAAATCTATCAACAATGTAAAAGATGTTAAAGTGTCTGAAATCCGTTTTCAATGGTTTTTAGACCACGAGCACTTCGTCATATTCGTCTTCTGTCCTGGGACGCAATTGGCGTTCTACACAGGGAAAAAGAATTACAGGAATTGGTGCTACGCTAAAGAATTAACCTGTGTTAGTGACACATATTTTTCCCTACCTTCCATTCAAACTCTGCAAATTTTCGACGTACGGCCAGGATCGCCTCGATAGAGGCGGTAGAGGCGCAGCTATTTGGCCAGATGAAACATTCAACAAAGTGTGATACCTTTCCCAGCCCTGCAAAGCATTGACACGATTAGTGTTTCCTTCCACTCAACCAGCCAGGAGCCCCTGTCAATAACTGCTGCTTACAAGCCCCCCAACAGACCACTTATTTACCTCAGATCTTGATGGCCTTTTCTAACGTGTCCCCCGGTCGTGGCAAAACCTAAATGACCGAATCCTCGAATCTTACACCGGCGAGCGCAGACTGCGCGTCTTAAGACCACAGTACCCAACGCACATTGAGGACAGGGGCTCAGACGTATTAGATAATGCCGTTTTGAAAAATATATATATTTCAACGGCAATTTGAAGTTCTTTACGAAATCTCGTTCGGACCAGCTGCCAATCCTGCTTGATTTGGGCGAGGAAAAGGAGTTACTGAGGACTTATACCAGAACTTTTGCGGCCCTGGCTCAATTACCTGATGCTCTTGATATAACCTTTTCAACATTTTCCGCCTTGCTTAATACGCTCGCTTTACTTGACATTGCTGTTGCTTAATTTGAGGGCGCTTTGACCATGGCGTATCTCATCGCCGACAACACGTGAAGTTTAGTTCCGTCCTGACAGATTACCTGCTGGTTGAAAGACCCTCATCCGCGAGCGGCGATGCCTTATTCGAGTGGTATCGCAACGCCCTGAAGATAAATTAGCTCTTAATGGACTACACCGGCGCACCATAACCGACTGGGAGGGACAAAGTTAACTAATGTGACGGTCGCGTCACTTTTTGGAAGTTTATAAGGAAATACAAAAAACTGAGCGCCTTTACCATTACCTACTACGCAAGACGGCAATTTTGTGGCAGAAAATGATGCTCTCAAAGCGATACTTTTTGTCGATCAACTCGCTACTCAGTGCGTGCCACCTGCTTATTTAGATGCTGTTGAAGCGCGTTGTGAATCAAATTTCCTTGCTGATGCTGAAGAACAACTGGAGCCTATCACCATACTCGGAACCGTGGAGATCATTGACGCTTTGCTGAGACGAAAGGCACCTGGCCCCGACGGTATCACCAACGTGATGTTAAAGCAATTACTAAGGGTGGCTGTAGAGCAACTATGCTGCCTCATCCACTCTACATTGGCTCTCG